GATTGGTATAACATTTAGCCCACATGTGTCTAACTGGTAACCACTCAGCTGCCAAATACCCCAAAAGTCGTCGGTACTGTACTCCCCAACTACGTCTGAAATTGTCTAAGGCAGTATCCATGTCTTCCACTGTCAATGCATATACAGCACGTTGCCAAGACGCCAAGATATGATCCACTGTCGGTTTGGCTGCATCTATACCACAATGAGTCGTCCTTCGCACCTCTGCTAGACACTTTGCTCTCACATTCCTATCTATATGCCAAAGACATAATATATGAGTCGATGATGGAAACATTACCCCCACGGTCTCAACCAATCCTCCTGCCTTGGTACGACTCCTTCGTCTCGTCGTACACTATTGCAGATGCAATGACAAAGTTCAATCCCACTGGTGGCATGCTGACAATCTCAACCCAAGGCATATCATACTTATTGGTCTTGTATGTTGCATCTATCAGGATCACATGGTGCCAAGCTCGCAACATCACTATTGACTCGGGGTGGGCTAGGAACAAGTGTGTAAGCACGTTACGATCGTCCATATACTGTGCATAGTAACCCTTCTCCTGAGCCACGCGGAAGTATACTGTAAGGCAGTCATCTGACCAAGCTCTTCTTTCCTTATCTTTTGCAACTCGTTATAATTATGCTTTCTGTTGTGTGTTCCATTTGCACCTTTTCTCTCATTCACTGCCTTGTGGATATTCCTTGGTGGGACACCGGCTGATCTCAGCTCTCTGATGTATTGCTTATCCTTTGTAGTCAAAACATTCCTTCCCTTTGATCCCTCCGGAAATAGCTCCAACTGATGATTGTGGAAACCCAAATTAGCACCAAGATTCTTTGTATTTGCCACCCCTAGGATCAACCAATATCCATCACAGGACCGCTCAAGCTTGATCTTAAACTCGCACCCCAACTTTTCAGTAGATGTAAGAGGCCTCCTTTCCTTACTCGGATCAGGTTCCTTCGACTTCTTCTTCCTACCATGAGTGCAATGTAAGTAATGTCGCCAAGTACCTTCATTCTTATTTTTTTGTTCGTTGCCCTCACCAAATAAAACCCAAAACCCTTGGCAATCTCAGTAGCTGCTTCATATGCTTGCAACTCCGTAGTGTATTTCACGCCATCAATGAAATCCGAGGTGTAATCATGGCCATCCGGATTGTAACTTCCAATATCCTGCAATGTTATCAGAATTTATAAGTGATACCCCACAAATTTTAAAAAAACTTAACATTCTATATCGTCAATTTAACGAGTACCATATGATAAATTTAAAACTTCATAACTATATTTTAAATTTAATAATCATCATAACTTCATATGCGAATCTATTATTTATGCAATAAATTTAATCTTAATTTGTAATGCAAAATCTAATCTTAATTTTCTCGATTAAGACCAAATTAAATCTAATCTTAATTTAAGGCCAAATCTAATCTTAATTTCTAAGGCTAAATCCTTCAATTCTAAAAATAATTATGCAAATAAATCTAGAAAATTATATAAATCAAAACCCAAAAAATAGAAAATACTAATTTGAACAAAAAAAACCATAAAACGCTCAACCGCAGGTCACTTGCGGTTGCACCATGGTCCAACCGCAGCTCAGTTGCAGTTCCGTCATGGTCCAACCGCAGGTCACTTGCGGTTCTTGCGGTTGAACCATGGCTGAACCGCAAGTGACCTGCGGTTGGACCATGGTCGAACCGCAAGTGACCCGCGGTTCCCATTTTCTGTGTTTTTTTTATTTTTCCAGTAAATGTTTTTACCTCGTCGGAGTCGCTACTCATGATTCGGACCTCCTACTGACGATATCGGCTTCAAAATGACGATGATGGATTTTTCTCTCCTTAGATAGTGTTTTTTTAGTCCAAGTGGTGTTTGTTTGCTAAAGGGAAGGTAAAGAAGCTAAGGGGGTTAAAAGTGTAACTTTGATACTTTTTAGGGCGACCTTTAACAATTTTAAGGGCGACCTTTAGAAACTCTCATAATTATCAGCAGGCGAACGTTTTTGAGCCAGAATGCAAGAGTAATAATATGCGAATGAAATAAGAAGATGCATGGAGAGAGAGAGTTTTCAGACATCCGATGACAGAGGATAATTTTTGGACACGGAGGAAGATTTTCCGGCGGTAGTACCAATTCGTAATGTTAGTCGTTCTATTTTGTAATATTTGTAAGTCTGGTTTGTAATGTTTATATCAGTTTGGTTTGTATTGTTTGTCATTTTTGTCTATTATATTTGTAATGTTTATATGACTAATTTGTATCTATGTAATTTGTAATGTTTGTTTGTCTAGTCTGTAAACTTTTATGTTATGATTTGTATACTTTGTGTTCATTGGTTTGTAACACAAGTTTACAGGTCTGTATTGTAAGTATTGGTATTATGTACGGTTAGTATGCTTTATACTATTTGTCGGTTTCTTTTGTAATGTTTGTAAGTTTTGTTATTTTTGTTCACAATATTTGTAATATTTTTTTGTCTAAAACAAAACTTGGTTGACTTTTGGATGGAAATCATCTATATAGAGATGGAGCTTCCAAAGTCAACCTAGTTGTTTTTCCATTTTGTATGATTTGTCAGTTTAATTTGTCAGTCTAGTTTGTCATTTTTGTAATAGTAACAAAATTATAGTTATTTCTTATGTAACAGTTAGATCAGAAACATAACGTAATGCTTTTGTTGATGTCGTGGTTGTCACCGATGATAAATTTTTTATGGTGGGCACTGAAGTGGGCCGATGAACGCCTTTTATCTTGACCCTCTTTAGTGATGTCACATCCGACCAATATAGTCAAAATCTCGCTTTAAAACTTTAAACCTTACACTTTTACACTTCTAGGTCAACAAAATGCTTCTACGTAGAATCGCGTTTTTCAAAAGTTTACCTTTTTAAGGTTCTAGGTTACCAAAATGCTTCTACGTAAAATCACGATTTTGAATGTATTGTGTTTGGTTGTTCCCTGCAAAAAGGGTCTGCTTGCTTATCTCGACGAGACACTCTCTGAACGCTCAAGTTAGTCGACTGGAGGGGTGAGGGGGAAAAAGAGATAGTACAAAGGGTATTAGCGAGGAGGGGAGCCCAAGTGAAGAGTGACACGAGGCACTAATTACAGTGGGCACCCTCTGGCTTTTCCCCTAGTTTTTTCTCTCTTACTTTTAGTTGGAGAGTCTAGATTGATTATATGGTGTAATTTGGGGGACGACTAGGGACGTGTGTCAGTGACGACAGTGAGTATGGACATGTTGCTTGAAACATTTCGTCGAGATACGCCTATGCCTGCAGTATTTATGTATACTTGTCAATCATATTTTTGTCACGAGGAAATTGGCCAGAGAGAGCAGGGCCGACCCATGATATTCGAAGGTCCTGTTCGAAAATTTAAAATGTGGCCCAAAAAATTTTCTCCACAAATTTATTTAAAATAAAATTTATTAAATAATAATAAAAAAATACATTAGTCACAAAATGATTACAATCCACTTTTTCTTACGCTTAAATCTACCTTATTCTTATTTTCTAGTTTTCACAATTAAAAATGCTTACCAATCAAAATTTCCAATCAAAAGTTCTCTTAAAAAACAAAATGGTTTGAAACTAAAACAGGCCCAACCAAATGAAAAAAAATATTAGAAATTAAAATAGGCTCAGCCGATTTTCAAGTGGTCATTCGGCCCAATTTTCCATGACCCTAGGCCCAGAAAAACCCTTCGGTCTCTCTTTTCCAATTTCCATTTCTTTTCATACATATATATAATTATATGGGCTTGGCTTATGAGGCCGCAAAATTCATGAGGCCCTGTGCTGTGGGTCAGACCAGCACAGGGCCTGGGCCGGGCCTGAGAGAGAATACATGTGAAGCATGCAAGTTTAAAGCCAAGTGGTGCATTTGAGTGCCATGTAGCGGGCGCATGGTGGGTGCACACTTAGGGCTGGAAGTTTGATATCAGTATTTGAGATTTAATGAATATCGTATTGAATTTATCACGATTTGGTATTACCGAATACCGGTTTATTTTTTAGATATTGATATTGGGATTCATTTTGGAGTGTTATTCGGTATTGAGGATTACGCGATTGAGATTGGTATATACCGAAATACTAAGAAATACCAAAAATTAATAATTAATAAAATATAGCACACAATCTTTGGTCATTCCTCACTCTTTCACAACTTAGAAGCCCCCATCTAACTCAATTTTTACTTTCCAATTTAACTCACTCTCGTCTCACACCTAATGTCTTGTTATTTCATAACGCCAAAAAGCAAATACTAGTATTAGTCATCTCTCATCCTCTAATTCGTCAAATTAAAGATTATCAATGACAAGAATTTGAGATGTCACATCTCCTTCATTCTCCTTATCCATATCCTAGCTCTAGGAAATCCCAAGACTCTTTGCTTAGTCTCTTTGCCCTATATTAAATAATCAAATTTAATTTATATATTCAATTATTTATTGCAAATGTAGTTAAATTCATATTCGATAATACTGATTGGGATACTGAAGTACTGATCGGGATACCGAAATATTTAAAGATTGGGATTGAGATACCGAAATTATTTAGTGATTGGGATTGTGATTGATTTTAGGGTGTAATTCGGTATTCGATATTTCGGTATTTGGTATTGGGATACCGAGACCGTACCGATTTCCATCCTTAGGCGCAGTTAAGCACCAACGAGCGCAGGGCGCTAGGCGTAAGGATGAGCTCGGTTACCGGGTGAAATTTTAAGCCCTAGTATGATTTTGAGTTTGCAGGCACCCGTTGTCGAGCGTGATTACGGGCGTGGGGGCGATAGTGAAAGAAACGTAAACGCGAAAAAAGGAAAAACATGACAAGGATTACGTGGTTCGTCTCATTCGTTGTGAATGAGCTTACTCCACGGAGAAGTTATGCTATCTCTGCTTATTTCACTCTTAGTACAGCCGATTACATCATCCAGTTTATATAACCCTAATCAATTAGATCCTAGGGTTACACGAGTTGTAGCCAGCCTAGGGAAAAAGACATCAATATCCTTATTTAGCTGGTATGGCTACATACTAGAGAATATAGAGTCACTACACTCCCCACAAGCTTAGGCATGCAGGTTAGAAATGCCCAGTTTGGAAAGAAGCGCATGAGAATGCCCAGGTTAGAGTCAAACATTTGGTAAACAAATTCGCCGGCTGAAGTTCAGAAGAGATCTTATGAGGAAGGATCCCATTGGAAGTGACGTGATCGCGGATGAAGTAGCACTCTATCTCCAAATGCTTCGTCCGCTCATGAAATACCGGATTAGTAACGATATGCAGAGCTACTTGATTGTCACAATGAAGAATAGTAGGGCGAGGAGAAATTACCTCAACCATGGCTCTATACACAGCCTCTACAGACGAACGAGCAACAACAACCTGTTTCTTAGTGCGCCAAGAGATAGGCGCAGAACCCATAGTAAAAAAATAACTAGACGTGGAATAGCGGGTGGCCTGACAACCACCGCAATGAGCATCGCAGTAAGCAGTGAGCTGCAGAGTACCATTAGAGGGAAGAAGAATCCCTTGATCGGAAGCTACCTTGAGTCACCGAAGAACGCACTCTGCCCCAGCAATATGAATAGAAGTTGGAGCATGAACATAACGACTGAGAATATTGATTGCATAAACAATATCTGTCTGAGTGACTGTGAGATACTGGAGCCGGCCAACCAAGCACCGATAGGCCACAGCTTCATTAACAGAGACCAACTCGGAATCGTCAGTTGGCCGAGTTAGTTGATGTTGCTGCTCAATCGGAAACACACTAGGTTGATTGCCGGTGATACCACTGTCTCACAAAAGATCCTTCGTGTACTTGCGTTGACAGAGAGCAATCCCAGTACTGGATCGAGCCACCTCGATTCCTAACAAATACTTGAGAGGGCCCAAGTTCTTGATGTCAAACTGTTGATGAAGAGTGTCTCTTACCAGCTAAATAAAACTTATATTGTCACCTGCGAGGATCACATCATCAACATATATAAGGGCGACCACATAAGAACCATGATAACGCCGAAGAAAAAGAGAGTAGTCAGCTCGAGAATGGTGAAATCCAAGTTGCGCCAACGTAGTCGAGAACTTTGCATACCAATTCCGTGAAGCTTTTTTAAGCCCATAATTGGACTTGTGGAGACGACAAACTCGCGTGTCACCAGGAGCACTAAAATCTGGGGGTATCTGCATATACACCTCATCATCAAGATTGTCATGAAGGAAGACATTGTTGACGTCTAACTGATGAACCGCCAAGCCACGTACAACAACGACAGCGAGCAGACATCGAACTCTCACCAACTTTGCAACGTGAGCAAAAGTATCATCATAATTGATCCATTCAGTCTGAGTAAAACCCATGACAACTAGCCTAGCCTTGTACCGATCAATGGTGCCATCAAGGTTGAACTTGAGCTTATATACCCATTTGGATGCCACAATCCGCTTGCCAGGAGGGAGACTAACCAAGGTCAGAGTACCATTGCCAATAAGGGTGTCTACTTCACAGCATCCTTGAAATGAGTGGGTTCGACGTGGCTGGAAATGGATGCCAAGTAGCTACGATGTCTCGCCGAGAATCTCTGATAATAACACACTGCGCCATCGGGTAGGGAATATTAGAGGGAGGCAGTTCAACATCAAACACATCAAAATGGTCAGGTACGTGGCGGCGCCGGTCACTCTTGCGAGTACCATCATCAGCTGGTTGTGTGGATGTTGACTTATGATCCGGCAAAGGTGACTTTGCATGGCCATGCAAATGAGAGTCAACAGCTTCACCAAGAGGAGCTATTGGAGGAGCAGTAGGAAGTGGTGCGACAGGGCTGCCTCGCAAAATGGAAAAACATTTTTGACAAAGTGAAGATCTCTGGACGTGTAGATGGTCCTAGAGGAAAGATGAAAAAGTTGATAACCCTTTTGTGAGGCTGGATAACCCATGAAGACCAACTTCCTGCCTCGTTCACCAAACTTAAAAATGCCTTTGTGCGTGTCCTTCCCATAGGCCAAATATCCAAGCACGCAAAGATGATTATAAGAGGGCTCCTTACCTAACGAGACCTCATAAGGCGTTCGGCCACGAAGGACCTTGGATGACATCATGTTAGTGTTAATCAGATACGTGGTAGTCAGGACACATTCGCCCCAGAAAATCAAAGAAAGACTAGCACGAAACCGCAAGGCACGAGTTGTCTCAAGCAAATGTCGATGCTTCCGCTCTACTACCTCATTATGTTGGCGAGTATCTGTGCAAGATGTATGCAGCAGGATACCCTGATCTTCACAGAAAGCCCGCAAACCAACTATCTTAAATTATAAGCCATTATCAGCCTGAATTCGTGCAACCTATTGTCCACACTGACTTCGCCATATTAACCAACATTTTCAAATACCCTTCCACATCCGACTTGTAAGACATCAAGTATACCCAAGTTGCTCTGCTAAAATCATCGACAATAGTGAGGAAATAGCGAGCTGCATTATGAGTTGGAACCTTAAATCCACCCCATATATCAACATGAATGATTTCAAAACAACAACCAGTCTTAATCGAATGCTTAGGAAAAGGTAAGCGTTTAGCTTGCATACAAGAGTCACAAACACTGCTCTCACACTTATTCTGAACTGAACGAAATAAACAAGAAGTCTTCTTCTGCGATGGATGACCCATCCGAGCATGCCACAACTCCCCCATTCCCTTCTCGCCACTAGGTGTCAAGGCATGAGAGCGCTCGACACCAAAAAGCTGAAGATAATACAAACCATCACGAAGTTGTCCCATCCCAATCGTCTTCCTAGAGTGTAAGTTCCGAATGACGCAAAAGTCCCGCAAGAATGTTAAGGCAACATCAAAATCCTGATTGAATCTGCTGAGTAACAACATGTTGCATTTAAATAGCGGGAGACTAAGTACACGACTAAGCTTCATCCCATTAGACTCACTGACTTCACCAATTTTCTTGACTGTTAAACTATCCTCATTCTGTATACTAACAGGCAAGTACCCTAAGACATCAATAGAGTTCTCTAACACGGACTCATCATTCATTATATACTCATTGCATCCCTAATCAATGATCCATTCTGACGCGCCTAAGAAGTTACATGCCATATGGACCTGAGGCTCGAATGAGAAAGCATGATGTTGTTGTCCACTCGTTTGATTAAGGAAGGTCAGGAGCTGCTGAACTTGCTCAGAGCTCAACCCACTGACAGAAACTCCCGCCCCAATGAAAGACCGCGCCGCACGAGACTTGCTAGGTCAAGACTTCTCCTGATCTGTGCGCTCCTTCTCTTTCGGACGTGTCATGTGCTCCGACCATCCAATCAGTTTGTAGCAACTCTCTCGCGTGTGCCCTTTCTTCTGACAGTGAGAGCACCGAGGAATCTCCTTCCGTTCTGATAGTGAGAGCACTTTCTCATCTCTTCTATTTAATTCCATGGCCAGATGATCATGGGTGTCTTGAAACGCGGCCGCATCCACTTGCGGACGTCGACTTGCCGTAATTTGTTTGTGTTGTTCCTCCGTCGCAACTAGCATGTACGCCTCAACAAGTGGTGGCGTAAGTTTCATGGATAAAATATGTGTTTTCACATTTGCGAAAGCATCAACAAGTCCCATGAGAAAATCAAATAATTTGTCATTCTCGAGATTGCTTACCACCTTCTTCTCAACTCCACATGTGCATAGACCACATATACAACGCGAAATTGGAGTGATAGTCTGCATCTCCTCCCAGATCGCCCTTAGCTTGGTGTAAAAAGTGGAAACATAAAGCTTCTCTTGCCGCAATGTGCTCATTATTTTTCGTAACTCATAGGCTCGTGGCGCGAATCCCTTGCCAAAACGCGTTTCAAGATCCACCCACATCTCCCGTGACGTCTTTGCGTAACGTATAGCACTTCTGACCTCTTTATCCATGGTTGTTTTCAGCCATTCCTTGACAAGAGCATCGCATTGGAGCCAAGCTTCGCGCAGATCAGCTGATGTTTCCGGCTTGACGATGGTACCATCAACGATACCTAGCTTATTCTTTGCAATCAGGGTCTCAGTCATGTCGGTGACCCACTCCCCATAATTGGAATGTTCAAAAGTTCGCCCACGAACAATTGACCAGGATTATCCGATGCTTGAATCTTGACCGCAGTAGGTATCGCAGGTGGAGGAGGATTTTCGCCGTCGCTGGTACTACTATTAACCATCGCTCCAACATCGCCAGTTCCGCCACTTGCCATGATGCAAACTCCGTTTTAGCATACTTTCTCTGATACCATGAAAGAAATGTTAACACGAAAAGGAAAAACACGACACAAGTATTATGTGGTTTGTCTCATTCGTTGTGAATGAGCTTACTCCATGGAGAAGTTATATTATCTCTTGTTATTTCACTCTTAGTACAACCGATTACATCATACAATTTATAGAACTCTAATCAACTAGCTCCTAAGGCTACACGAGTTGCAGCCAGCCTAGGGAAAAGACATCAATACCCTTACTTACATGGTACGGCTACGTACTAGAGAATATGGAGTCATTACAAATAGTAGGGGTGGCTATTTGGTCCGTTTTTTTGGTTTTACCCTAAACCGGACCGTATAATCCGGACCGAAAGCGAACCGGGACCAGATAGCAAACAATCCAATCATGTTTTTTTGGGCTTAGATTTGAGGTAAAAATCCGTTCGGGACTGGACCGGAAATCGGATAAAGACAAGAGTAGAGAGCCCAACACCCAAAACCTAACCAACTCCTCACCCTTTTAGACCTCAACCCACTCAAACCCCCACAATTTTAATCTAAACTCAAAACCGGATTGGAGCCGGACCGAGTCAAAATCAAATTGTTTCCAATCCAATCTTAAGTCATCATATTCTCGAAAAAACCGGGACCAATTTAGCCGGAACAAACATATAGCCTCCCCTATAACAAAGAGTGCACCGGCGAGCGAACTGTATGTATTAAGAAGTTAGGAGTTCATTTATTAATGTTCCTTCGCCATTTCCGAAGTATCGACAGACGACAGTAATTAATCCACATGGCTTCGGACCTTGGTCAGTTGAGGATGAAAAGAGTCTCGCACCGACAGACAGAGAAAAAGCAAGATTCACCACTTGGTCGACATTTCAAATTTCCAATTAATGGTGTTCCAATGGAAAATTCCCAATCTCCACACCAAGAAATGAACAACGCGACAAAGTTTCCCTCGTATCCAGTAGTCGATGAACAGAGAGTGGCGCATGATCTGAAGAGCTTGCAGATTTTTCCTATCATTACTTCCCGGGTATGCCTTCCTTCGATCCTTTATTTATTTGCTACTAGTTTGGACGAATTTGTGCCCCCTGTTTCTGGCTTGTAATAAGCAAATGGATTGGCATCTTCCTGTGACGTGAGCGAATTTGCAATGCGATTGTTCCGTTCTCCTTTTTCAGGTCCTACGTCAATGGAGAAGCGGCAGGTATGCCGGAGATTCCTCTCTGCAATGGCCATTTGTTTCTTACCGTTGCCTATTTTGGTCATCTTGATCCCTGGAATCCATCAGAAAGCGTCCACCTTTGATGTCATTGGGCGATTGTACAAACCGCACCCAGTGGGAGAACGAGTTCAGAATCTCCATGGGTTGTCGTCTGATCTGGGTAAGACTGATTTCTTCACTGGGTCTGTTAAGAGTTTCACAGAATAGCCACCAGGTTGCAGAACCAAGCCAATGCTCACAACCTGTTTGATGAATGGTCTCTTTGCTTCAGGGTTTGATGGAAAGTCGTGCTTAAGCAGATTGCAGAGCAGGCGTTACCGCAAATCTGGAACCCAGAGGAAACCTTCTGCTTATTTACTCTCCAAACTTCGAAGCTACGAGGCTCTCCATAGGCGTTGTGGCCCTTACACTGAATCCTACAACAGAACTGTACAACTTATCGGGTCAGGGAATCTCAGTACCTTCAGTAGTACCAATTGTACATATCTCGTATGGCATCCTGTGCATGGGATAGGAAACAGAATTGTAAGTCTGGCTTCCACCTTTCTGTATGCCTTACTAACAGACAGAGTTCTTCTTACTGATCTTGGAGAAGACATGGCTGGCCTCTTCTGTGAGCCATTTCGGGGCTCGTCCTGGGTGCTGCCTCTGGAGTTTCCTCTCAAGAACCTTTTCCGTAGGAACGCGTTTAGATTTGCTCACAGTGTTGGCAGTGCTCTGAAGAATGGCACATTGAAAGTTACAGAAGATTCGCCAGAAGCACCTCCATTCCTTTTTCTGAATCTCTACAAAGGGATCTATGCGGATTCAGATTATTGTTTCTACTGTGATGAAAGCCAGTCATTTCTTAGCAGAGTGCCCTGGTTGATTATGCTATCAGATCAATACTTCATGCCTTCCTTCTTCCTCATACCTTCATTCAAACAGGAGGCTATCAAATTGTTCCCAGAGAAAGAGGCAGTCTTTTTTCACCTGGTTCATTATCTTGTGCACCCGTCAAATCGGGTTTGGGAACTGATCACCAGGTTCTATGAAGCAAACCTTGCTAGTGCGAATGAAAGGATCGGCCTCCAAGTTAGACTCTTCAAAGCCCAATTCCGCACATCTACTGTTTTTACCGATCAGATTCTGGCTTGCTTGCTGAACCAAACCCTTCTTCCAGAGATTGACAACCGGAGTCCAGAACTTTCTTCGACTTCACCTGGAAACCAGACAACAAAAGCTGTCCTGATAACATCCCTGTACCCTCAGTTCTATCAGAACCTCAGCACAATGTACTCCAACAAACCAACTGCCAGCGGTGAAGTGATCAGGTTTTACCAACCGAGCCACGAGGAGAAGCAGAAATTTGGAGACAGTGAGCACAACATGAAGGCATTGGTTGAGATATATCTGCTTAGCATGTGTGATAAGTTGGTGATCAGCTCAAAGTCGACCTTTGGCTATGTAGCTCAGGGATTAGGGGATACTCGGGCCTGGATGCTGCGCAGACCAGGACATGGGACCAATGATCCATGTGTGAGAGACCTGTCAACAGATCCATGTTTTCACTACCCTCCTTTCCGGAACTGCAATGCTGCTGGAAACAACAAAAGCAGCTATGTTGATGTTGCTGAACATGTTTCTTATTTGAAGCATTGCGAGGACCAGAATAGGGGAGTGAAACTAGTTGATGTTCATGAAGAGTTGTAGCAAGAGGTGTCGGGGTAATTAAGATGTTGAATGTTTTGTGTGATTGATTATTTTAGAGGCATAGAGCCAATTTTGGGTCTCGTCGCCATGGAGAGTTTGGATGACCTTACTGGTTTCTTTACTTTCAGGTGACTAGTGGTCTAGTGGATACTCGCTCACATTTTCTGTTGACAAAAAAGAAAGTGTTATGTACTTTTATTGTGTTTGGGGAGTATAGTCGAAATGTAAGTTCGCAAGATTCTGAAAGGGAACTCTAGTACTGAAAATTCAACTAACGGAAAACAGGTCTTATTATCACGTTTGATTTGAAAGTCATTGGTTGCAAATGTCCTCTTCACATCAATTATTCTATTGGCTACAAACTTGCACCTAATGAAATGGTAGTAGATCATCAAATTAAAATTCTCCGCAGATCTTCTTTCTTCAGTATCTCAATCTCTTTCTGCAACTTTGTCCATTGCATTCAGCTCCAAAGAGTAGTCTTCTTGACAATCACCTCATCTATGGTCTCCACTTCTTTTAACCTTTCGTTCTCTCCATCCATCTCTGCTACACGATGCTTTAGCGCATAAATAGCATAGTTCTTGCGCCGCCGCACCTGCACTTCCAGCTCCCAGATTCTAGCTCTAATCTCTTCGTCTTTCCATGCATCTTCCCAGCTCTCAAGTTTCAAGGAGCAAGCTTAAAATTGGAATGGTCCGTCAGCATAAGTGGTCACGCAGAGACAGTCTTGTATCCTATCAGGGTAATGTGCAGCTGCGTCTACACGTACACCAGCTTGATGGCGTCTGGAGCTTCATGCAGAAGCCGCTCGAACAACGTAGAGTTGTCCTTTGCAGAATCCTCCTCCAGTACTTGGGCCATTACATCGAGCCACAGGTCTCCATGCTGGCTCACAAGTTCCATGAAATGGTTGTTGTGCATAGCTTGTAGGAGCAACCGAGGTGGACGATGTGTTGGTGGTTGAAGGTCACACCCCAGTGGTAGTGGATGTATCCTCTGGTGCCACTTTCTCCATCAAAGGTCGTGTGTTATAAAGTGCTGCGATGCAAATGCCAACGGCAATGTAGTTGACTAAAAAATGGATGCTTGGCTGGCAGTCTCCTCGAAGTGATGATAAATGAGTGATCAATTGCATATAGTCAGTTCCCCAAGTTGGGTACGGGTACTACTTCACTACTTGCTGTGTTCCCTTCCACTTCCAGTGCCTCAGCTCAAGTCACCTGATATTTACATTAGGTACTTCTGATGTAATTCCAACATGCCATCCATCGACCCCGGAGCAGATGTGGGATCGTTCACCCCCAGTACTTGCAAAAAATTTAATTCCTGGAGGCCAGTGATTCCAGTCAACCGCCTGCATTGTCTAATATCCAAGTGTTTCAGATATTTTAAACCAGACAAATCAGACAGCTTCTTGATTGACTTGCACTGTGACATAGCTAGCAGTTCCAACCATTCCAACCTCTCGACTCCTATGACCTCCTTCAACTGCGTACATTTGCTAATATTCAAGTATCTGAGGTTCTCAAGAATAGATAGATCAGGCAACTTGCTAACTGACTTGCACCTCGACATCGCTAGCACTTGCAAAGATTCCAAACTCTCAAGTCCTGTAACCTCGGTCAGTTGTGTGCATCCACTGATGTTTAACAGTGTCAGATTCTTGAGTGCTGATAGATCAGGCAACCTCACAATTGATGCACAGTCATTCAACTTTAGCCGTACCAGCGACTCCAGTCTTTCTAGCCCCATCACCTCGGTCACTTTTGTGCATCCTATGATATCCATATTTGTCAGTTTCGTGAGACCACATAAATTTGGCAACTTGAGAATTGATGTGCACCAGGAAATGTTGAGCCGTTGCAATGAATTCAAACCATCTATCCCGCAATCCTCCGTCGACGTCAACGACCTGCATTCACTAATACTCAAACAGTTCAACTTTTTGAGGTGACACAGATTTGGCAGCTTCTTCATTGACGTGCAGCGGTGCAGTTCTAATCGTTCTAGCGATTCCAACAGGTCGAGCTCTTCCATCTCGGTCAATTGTCTGCCAGACCAAATTCTTAGGTTCTTCAAATTCTTGAGGGTAGATAGACCCGACAGCTTCTGAATGGAGGTGCAATATGAAATATCTAACTCTTCTAACGACTGCAATGTGTCAAACCCTGTAATCTCAGTCAATTGCTGGCATCCTGAAATAGTTATAAAATGTAGATTACCAAGACCAGCAAGATGAAGGATTCGGATTCCTGGGACAGATGTAGTATCTGAACCACCACCTGGGGTTTCCTCAACAGCTAAGTTCTTCAGGTTGCCTAACTTGGACAAAGAAGAAAGACGTAGTAGTAGTGTTTCTAGTGCCTGAAAGTTTGTCAGTTTCAAAGTTTGCAGTGCTTGCAGAGATTGAAGAAGGTCTTCAACACTAGCTAACTTGGGACAGCAACTTACTTCTAAATGTGTTAAGGAAGACTCTCCCATGGATGCATCCAGCCCTTGGATTTCAAACAGGGCCCAACAACTACGAATCACTAATGTGTGTAACTTGGTCAGATTGGAAATACTTGGCAGTTTCTCCAGTGCACCACAGTAGACCACAGTAAGCCGTTGCAAGAGCACTAAATTTTCTAGACCGTCGAGACTTTTAAGGTTTGGGGCATCAGATATTGCAAAAGCTTCCAACATTCTCAGCTGTCCAACACCATGTATCTCATCTACCTGGACTGACCGAAGTCGTAGTTCGATTAAATTACTCAGATTTGCAAGGTCCGGCAGTGTCTCCAATTGCATACAAGAAACCACAAGGCTGTTTAGAGATGATGGGAGCTTGGCAACCGAGTCTCCCATGATTCCATTACTACTATTACTACCTGCAACTGACTCCACCTGCAGTAATAGACTCTTGCAGTGGGAAAAAGATACTGTCAGTTTCTTCAACTTGGTTAGGTGCAGCCATATATCTCCAGGAATTTCAGGCGCTCCGTGACAATGCTGAAAGCATAGATCTTCCAAGTCCTTGAGCTCCAACAGATTGGGAACACTGGGGGACGAAAGCCACAGCTTCTTTAAACTTGTGGGGAGTGCAGGCAATTCCACTCGCGATAAGATCAACATCAAGATTTCCAGAGAGTTTAGATTACCAATACCAGCAGGCATTTCTGTCAAATTGGAAGCATCAATCTCCTCCAGGTCTTGAAGCATTTGAATATCACCTTTCAACTCTGTTATCTTGCTACTCGAGAGCCTCAGCAGTTTCAAATTCTTGAAATTGCCAATATGCAGTTCCCCTCCCATCTTAGTACAGAGCTCAAGATTTATCACCTCTAGTCTGCCACAGGATGACAAGTCCGGAGCTTTCACCAAGTCCTCGCATTGCCGTAGATTTACCACTTTCAGCTTCTTACCTTCCTCCTGTACCATTACAGCCACAATCTATTTTTACCACACTCAAGTAAACATATATTGTTCTTGACATGCTAGGAAAAATAAAAGATAGGAGAGATTGATTAGCTTACCTTAACTCTTTTCCAGCCTTTCCAATCATCCCTAACGTAGGATCCTTCCAAATTAAGAATTATGACTTTCTTCAGGTTAACATCAGTTGGAATTGAACGACAGAGGCACAACTGAAGCCATCGTATATTTGGAAGAATCTTACTGAAATCTCCAGTCATTCTTCCACCCCTCACTTCAAGAAACCTTACCCCTGATAAATTCCTAAATTCTTCATCCGTTAACTTCAGAACACCTCGATCTCCCAAGTTGACTCTAAGAACTTCTACCTTGTCATTTCCCTACAATATGAAATCACCCAAGTATCAAACAAGTAGCTATCTAACTTACATGTATTAAATGAAAGTTAAAAGATGAGATGTACGCATGGATAATATAATCAAAATGCAAATAGAAATACCTTTCCATTTTCTAACATATCCAAAGCCTCTTCCTCAGACCATATCCTACTACGTTTCCATGACTGCTGGATATTTTCTTCGCGAACAATAGCTCGACCAAGGTCTCTAATGTGGTCATGCATCCAGAATTGGTTCCTCTCATCAATTCTTAACAAGGATCTAAGGATAAGACCGCTAACACTACTTTCTGGATAAAACTTGCAGTCATTCCACATGTAAAAGGGTAATTCTTTAGTTTTCCCAACGAAGAAACAAGCAATATCCAAAAAGATATCCTTTTCAGCGGGAGTTAAATCATTATAACTTATTTTCAATATCTCATGCACCCTAGTATCAGAAGGTCTTTCCTTTAATTCCTCCAACTTTTCTTGCCAAACTCTTTTCTCTTTGCGAAACAAAAGTGATCCTATGACCTTTAAAGCTAGAGGAAGTCCTGCAGCAGCTTTTACAAATTCCTCACAAAGAATTTCTTTTTCTTCTTGATGATCACCCACTCCAAATGCATGTTTTCTAAAAAGTTGAAAAGAATCAATGTGAGTCATTACTTTGGCTTCGAACAACCTACATTCTTCAAAGAAGTCTAAAACCCTTATGTCTCTTGTTGTCATAATAAATCGACTTTCTATGGAAAAATCTCGTAAGTTTCCAAAAATGTTGTCAAACTCAAACCTCCTGTCTACATTATCGAGAACAATTAAAACCTTATACTTGCAAACTTTATCTCTAATTATGTGAATCCCTTCGCTAGTATCTTTAACATGGCTATCATGCCTCAGAATGCTAGAAATGATCTTGTTTTGCAAAGTAACAGCACCATCATTCTTCAACAATGTTTCCCGTATATCCTCTAGAAAGCAAGAACGTTCGAACCGTGAAGAGACATCGTTATAAACAGCTTTGCTTATGGTAGTCTTGCCAATACCACCCATACCGTAAATCCCAACAATTTTCACACCCTTGGAGTCCAAGTCCAGCAAATCCCTCACTTCTTTTACGTGTGATTCAACACCAATCAACTCATCAGTTACTATCCTATAATTTGCCATCAGATGTGACCACACTTGAGAGAAAATCTTGTCTATCACTGCTCCTTGTCTGGAAATTGAACACGAGTATGACATCACCGAACCTTCAAGAAAAGAGGAACAGAGAAGGAAAATGAGAACGTTACCCGTCGGATTCGGTCACATGCCATCCTTTCATATGGCTGACCACTTGGAGAGCTTCCTTCCATTCCTTCACCGTCTCTGCATCATGTTTCCGACTGTGCTGTCGAAATGCTCGACTATAAGAACCCTCTTGGCGCCGAACATCCCCAGGCTCCACGAAATAGAAAATGGGCAATAAGATGTGGCCTTGGTTTTGATTCAAGGATTTCACCATGAGAGAGAGCTCCTCAAGGCACCATTTACTGGAAGCATATCCTTGGGAAAGGATTGGAATGTAGATTTTGGATTCATGGATAGCCTGGACGAGCGAAGGTGCAATCTTCTCGCCCTTTCGGAGCCCTTCATCATCAAAGAAGGTGCGAATCTTGGAATGGTCAAGGAAGTGGTAGAGAGAATCCGCAAAAGTTGTTCGCACATCGGGACCTCTGAAGCTCAGGAAAACCTCGTAGTTTCCAGCCGGGAGAGGCCGCGTAGAAGAATCAAAGTCAGACAAAGAAGAGTTGGACTCGGAGGAGGGTTTGGAGCTGGAGTTCTTCTTCTGACGCCGGTAAAGAATGGAAACAGCAGCTACTAAAAGTGCGGCCGTGGCCAGAAACGAAGGCCAGTTTGTGTCCATTAGAATTTAGAAATGATCTTCCAAATTAAGGTCGATGCTTTCTCTCTCTTATTCCCTCACTATAAAGGTTGCAGTCTTGCTCTTGCATAGACCTTTTGGGTTTTGACTATATTGTCAAATCGGTTTATATTAGTAGTGACAATAGGTTTATACTTTGTATTAGTAGTTCATGACAAGGACAAGGACAAGATTGTTAAACCGGTTTATATTATTGTGTTAATTTAGTCAATGATATGATTTGACTTGTGATATAATCAGTGTGTGGTTCATGTTGGTTTAATATAATATGTAATATTATAAAACATTGGTAACATCAAATATATATTAATTTTAAAGATAATTTTAGTATAATCTATATTTTTATTTAAATATAATATAATATAATTTTTCCAAATTAAAATTCAAATACTCATATTTAAATACAATAATTAACGTCAAAACACAAATTTTTATACTTGATCCACCAAATAATATCAATATTAGCTTTTAAACTCATGAAATTAATCACAAATTAATTTTTTATAAGTTAACTTCACTAAAACGACATCATTTTGTTTATAGACGGAAAAGCGATCATGTCTGTCATACTAGTGGTATTCATACCAGTTTCATTACCGATACAGATTGAACCAGGCTCAATCGATTGGCACTCCACCGGCGTGACAACCATATTGTAGGCAGGTTTAGCAAGCTATATGTTCCGAGGGTAGATTAATGCGACTTCATTTCGTTAACTAGGGTGGGCATGCGGGTGGTGAATCTGCGGTTGGATATCGACCTACCCTTAAATAACCCAAATCGCAATGGGTGGGTGATTGATGTGGGTGGATCGTGGATCAAAATTTTTATATCCTCACTTATTTGGGTGGTTGGTGGGTAGGTTGCGGCTCACCCGAATGACCCGCATTTTATGTTTACATAGAAACAAGTTGTTTCTTGTTTATACTATCAATAATCATCATACTTCCTAACCACACTACACCACACACTAATCATCAACTTCTAAAGGTGAGAATAAAGAATATTTTTTCACTACTATTGGTTACAATATTCTGTAATGTTCATTTAATATTAGGATGGAAATTATTAATGGTTAATTTTCCTACAAAATTGATTGATGAATGAATGAAAGATTTGATACCTTTGCTAAGAAATGAAATCAATACACGTAAAGAGCCTTGGTCTCTAAACATAAGTGGTTAATGATTTGTTTTCTTTGTCGACTAAAAATTCATTTGAAGTGGCCAATTGAAGAATTTATATGAGGTATATAAACATTTCACATCATAAGTGCTAGGCGATTCCAAAGAAGATAGAGTGGGAAGTGTCTAAATTGTTATTGTCTTAATAATTTGAAGGAATTTATAACAAGTATTAGTTAACTTGCCTAATAGCAAGTTGAATAATTATTTTTGCGAGATATCCAACACCCATCCAACCTATTCCGAAAAGAATACTGGTGGATAGCGGGTGACAATTGTATCAAGTTGTTAATAAGCAGGTGAGTGAATTTTTTATCAAAATTCACTGAACACATCCACACTTTTAACAAAATTTGTAAAGAAAGTGAGAAGTTATTTAACATCAAATGAATTACCCAATATATTTTACTGATAACGAACTAGTACCGTGAAGGAAGAGTGAAAAGAACCCCCATCGGGAAGTGAAATAGAACATGAATCGTAAACTCCCAAGTAGTGGGAGGAGACGGAATTTGATCACGCGCATGTTGAAGAATGAGTTGGCGACTCATAGGCAATGGATTGGTTGATGGAAACCCATTGGAGCCGTAGCGAAAGCTAGTCTTCATAGGGAAATTGGACACCTAACGATTATAGAGCTTGGACCCAACTGCCGCCTGGACCTTGCTACTTCCAAGAGATAAAAATCTAACAGGTTATCCCATGATATCATAACCAATGTGTCGTATCCTTATGATGCACATTGGGATGGTAAAAGCCCCCAATCTAAATTGGGAAAAAATCCCAAAGTACACTAGTTCTTAAAAAAATTCCAACAATACATAAGTTATAAAAAAAATTCCAAAAGTACACATGTTTCACATTCACCGTTTTTGACAAACGCAGTGAATATAATCACCGCGCTTGACAAAATTGGTGAGCATTTCACCATTTTTGAATAAAACGATGATGTGTTCACCGTCTTTAACTAAAGCGGTGAAGTGTTCACCGCGTTTAACAAAAACGGTGAAGACATAACCGTGTAAATTAAAAGCGGTGAATACGTCACCGTTTTAGGGCAAAGCAGGGAACATCTTCACCGCCCTAGGTTACGACGGTGATTGTTTCCACGTTTCCCGCCCCTGGTAGGTGAAAATTAGGTCACAACTGTACATGGACGCTGGGTCGTGCTTGGGCCGGCACGACACGAGCACGCTTCAGGCCCATTTATTTCGTGTTGTGCTTGGCACGGCCCGTCAACTTTTGTGTCGTGCCATGTAAACCCATTTGTTAACTTTGCTAGACCCGGCCCAGGCCCGGGCACGGTTCGGATCGTGTCGTGCGTATTCGTGCTCGTGCCATGCTCGTATTCCTGTTTAATGAAAAGGACGAAAACAAAAGAGAGAATGAAAAAGAAGATGAAAATTGGACGGAGGAAGATAGTATTAACCGATAATGTTTGAGAAAAGTAACAAATAAGGGGGAAAAGAAAATTGGAATATAGCGAGTGTGATTTGGATTTGTTTAATTCTTTGTCCATTTTTACTTATGTTAGTAATTACGTATATATTTTTATGACACTTCTAACAACAACAAATAATTATTTTTGTACTTGTGTTTTGTAATATTTGAACCTATAATTCTTTTTATATATATTTTCTATCAAATAAATATTATTTTCGTGCCATGTTCGTTCTTATACTCAATAAAGTCTCGAAAATATTAGGCCGGACACGGCCCACTTATATACCGCGTCGTGCCCGTGCTCGTGCCCATGAAGTTTAGGCCCGCCACGGCATATAAATTATGCGTGCTCGTGCCGGGCTGGACCATTTATTTCGTGCTCGTGCCGTGCTCTAACCGTGTCGTGCCGTGTTAGCCCGTGGGCGGCACGGCCCGGTGCCCACGTACAGTCACAACCACCTAATGTTCACCATTTGAGACAAACGCGGTGATGTTGTTCACCGTTTGAGACAAAGGCGGTGAATGCTGGCCGATTTTTCTTTAAATACCACTCCCACCAGCAGTTGTAAAAATGTAATCCATCTCCCTCTTCAAATTTCAGCAACCAAAATCGAGCAACATACACAGAACAGGAATTTCTGGTATGATTTAATTTTCGTATTGTAGCCTAATGGTTGTTTTTAGTAGTTATATTGTTATGATACGAATTACTTATCGTAGCAAATATGGCCGATTTTATGAATTACTGGAATTAAGCTTATAGTTACTTATTGTAAATTGTAGATATGGGTAAATTCAAGAAGTTTCAGCTTATTATTCGGTGGAATGGAAGGGTGACAAACTCTGACATAGGGATTGATTATGAGGACGGTGTATCCACTATGCTGAAAATTGAGTCGCGATTCAATTTTCAAGAACTCTGTGATATTTGTGCAGACAGGGTTTGTACGAGCGGACAGACGAGACTTGGTAAAATTAGTTATCGGTATCCAGACATGAATGCTGGCGGGGTTGTGTACCAAGAAGTTGTTATAAACGATGATGACGCGGTTACGATGATGTTACAGTTCCTAAGCGATAACGGGATGCGGCTTGCAGAGGTGTATGTTGAGACCGAGGCGGTCGGTGAAACTCATTGTCACCAGTATTCTTATGATGATGGTTTTGCAGGAGGGTACGGATGGGGTGGTAGTTCTAGCAACTACGAAGGAGGTGGTTATACAGGACGTTACGGAGAGGGTGGTAGTTCAAGCAAGCATTTGCATTAGTGGATGGGGAACACAGATTAAGTTGGGCATGGTTCTTTGATCAACTACACGAACACGTGACACAGCGGGAGGGTATTACGATTATATCCGATCGACACGCGGGAATTAGGAATACCGTGGGTGGTTTTCCTGGCGAGTGGGGATGGACATGGCGCTGGTGTATTCGACACTGGCTCACCAATTTCCAGCACAAATTTGGGAAGAAGAAAGACATCAAAAATCAATTGTGGCATGCAGGTACTAATGTCCTTTAATGCGAGTTAACTATTTATTTAATAATTTATTATTTATCATGTATTGATCAGTTTGATTTTGTTCACCTTGCAGTGGTTGCACATCAGCCAAAAAAGTACGAGTAGAAGATGAAGACGATCCGTCAGACCCACCGAGATGGAGCAGTATGGGCTGAAGGTCAAGAGTTGGCCATGTGGACGTTCCATATGGACAATGGGGCCAGATGGGGCATTGCAACTACCAACCATGGAGAAAATATAAATAATGTGTACAAGGGCCTTCGAGCGATGCATCTTTCGGTCATAGTGGAGATGTCATACTGGAAGGTCAACGAGTGGCGGGTGGCTCGGCTTCAGCTAGCTATAGGGAGGGATATATCTGGTCATCCGATAGCACATGACGTCTTTGAGCAAATGCAGAAGAACCGCAGTGAAGGGATATTTGCAGTGGAAACAGGTGTATGGGGTGGAGGTAGACGTGGCCACAATCGTCAAACGGTTACTATGCACTATGAATCAGGGGAGTGTACATGTCAAAAGTATCAAAACAAAAGGATACCCTGTTCACATGCAATGGCAGTAGCTAAGTCATTAACCATGAATAGAAACACTCTGGTGAGTCCTTAGTACACTGAACAAGCGATACGGAACTCATATGATGCATCTTTGAGCCACATGCCAGATGAACATTGGAAGATGCTCCCATACCCAGAGCTGGAGGATGAACATCGCAACACTAGCTTGTTTCGCTCCCAACTTCGAGCAAGTACACAGCTCCCGGTATACGCCAGCTAACACGGCCGATCCCCAACTCTTTTCCCCTATTGCGTCCCAATCACCAAGGAGCAATGGCAACCATATGCCTTGAATCCACCGGTTTGACTTGTCAGGGAACAGAAATCCACCGACCAAACCAATGAGGTAGATGCGTGCATAGCGCTCCACTTAATCTTTCAGTGTCTCGTTGTCGATGGCCACCTCATTTTGGATGTGAGTAACGAGCCACGGGACCGACACTTGTCCCACATTCAATGGTGGATGCCCCCGTCCTTGAATTGGTGTGGTGGTCGGCATGTCAAAGCCCAAATGATCACGAATGAGCGGCCCCCAACCTCCTTCGGGTTTGGTAGTACTCCCAATGATGGCCTCTCCAGAAATCGACAGCCCGGTGAGGATCGCGACGTCTTTGAGGGTGATCGTCATTTTCCCCTCTGGAAGGTGGAATGTATGGGTTTCGGGGCGCCATCGCTCCGCCATTGCCGTAAGCAGATCGTTGTCGATTTCGATCCGCAAGAAATGCCTTAGCATACCCAACCCGGTCCTCTCTATATAGGGCGCCAACCGATCATGCCAAGCGGGCAAGTTTGTGGTCCCTTTATGAACGATGGGAATAAGTGATTCCTACAAAAAAATAGGAAAAACATCAATTTGTTAGTTTAAAGAAAGCAAAATAATACCTTATAGAATAATAAAATAAAATAAATCATCAATTTACCGGATTGTTATCCCAAATAGCACGGGAGCGATGTGCTTCTTAAATACCTCGTATCTCTTGGGCCATAATGGATATACAATCGAGGATTGTATATCTCGGCACCCATCTATAAAAAAAAGTAATGAAATCATATTGTTGTGATTAAAAAAAATCACAAAATCAAATTGTTTCGATTAAAAAATCACAAAAGAAAAACAAAAAACCTACCTGAAGAGCCTCTTCGTCCATTTTTTGGCGGAAGCCGAACAGAGGTTCGACGGGTTTATAAGGGATGGGGTTATAGGGTATAACTCTAGTAATTCTTTCTGATGTGGAAGATCGGACTTAGCCGCAACCACAGAGTATACTTAGAACGAGACTAGAGTGGATGGATTGATGGAGAAAGAAGTGTAAATGTAGTGGTGTGATTTGGAAGAGGGGGAAGGGTTCTATTTATAGTGAGGAAGGGGAGGGATCTGCAGAAAATTACTGGGGAGCCTTTATCGAGAATGGTGATTGGGGGGGATCGAGCGACGTGGCATGCTATGAGGCGTCGGATCTGGGAAGAAAACCACGATCCCCGCCTCACCGCATCCGACGGCAGCGGTGAGTGGATCCGCGTCGCATTCATCGTGGAAGTTAAATACGGGGAGCCCTTCACCGCGTTTTATTAAAACGGTGATGTTTTCACCATTTTTGTTCAAGACGGTGAATGGCTCACTCGTTACTCACGGTTTAAACTAAAACGGTGAACACGTCATCATTTTATTCAAATATGAAATGCGGTGATTATATTCACTGCGTTTGTCAAAAACAGTGAATGTGAAAACATGTGTACATTTGAATTTTTTTATAACTTATGTGTTTTGGCAAATTCTTTTAAGAACTAGTGTACTTTGAGATTTTTTCCATCTAAATTGGGTGAGGAAATCAAATTTAGCACCACCTAGAGGTGATAGGCGACCTTTAATTAAGAGCCAAAATGCAAACCCTGTTGGCCCTTTGGTAGGAATGACTGACAAGGAACTACGTGCGTACATTCGAGGTCAGGAGGCAACCTTAGAGAACTTGGAGCACCAGATTAGAAAGACGAGTTTTCAAACACTCTGAGCTAATATGTTTATCAGCCTTCCCATGTGCTATAAACCATTCCACAACATTTTTAATTATCCTTCTAGTAGTGATGGCAGGCGCCAGATGTTGATCATTGAAAATTCGCCGATTACGTTCCAGCCATATGTGCCAACAGATCGAGTGTAATGCACAGAAATAGAACCAGCCATCGATATCATCCGGGATCCGCGAGGGCCATCCGCGAATGGTGTCGACGATGTCGCCTTGAGGCCGCTCAATACTCCTGCATCTTTGACTAATGAAACTCCATATGATTTGAGCATAATGGCACTCAATGAGAATATGATTAGCAGATTCTTCCTTTGAATAATAGAGTTCACATCGATTAGCTATTTCCCATCCTTTTCTTTTCAAGAGATCAAGTGTCGGAATTCTCCGGTGGAAAAGGGTCCATAAGTAGAAGCAAATTTTGGTCGGGACCACATGTTTCCACATCGAGGCATAGGGGAAGTCGGGGACTCCCTGAATCGAGTCAGCAGCAATGCACCTGTATATAGATGAAACCGAGAAAGAGGACTCCGGGTTGGGAGTCCAGACAGGCCTGCAAGGACTAACAACAGCATAACCAAAGTCTACGGATCTAATAGTATCAACTATCAAACAAAGCAAATTTATCACTTTGAGCCCCCCACACAAAAGTGCCTTCAAGTTGTACCTTAAAAGAATTTGTACAAAAAGTATAAGTATAATCTGGAGTTGTACCATAACGTTAAAGGTACAATTTCAAGTTATACCATAAAGGAAAAACCTAAAACACCAATTCTATATAGCATTGTAAAATTCCTCTATAGACTTCCAATAATTTCATTTTTTATATATTTTAAGGTAACTAGTTATAAACACAAGCTAATTTGACCAGCTATTAAACTATAATGAAATAATAAATTCCTAAAGTATCTTTTTGTAGTTTTCTTGTGCAAATCATGAAACTTTGGAGGAAAAAAAAAAGAATCATACATTAATTTTTTATAAATGAAAACTCGTGATCACTGAAACTAAATCAATAATTTATCAACTACCAATATTCATCATTTAAACTAAGAGAATAAAACTCATACGATGAGAGACTTATTGAGGGAAATAAAAAATTATTATTTTTTACCACATCAAAAAGAATACCCACATCCACCCCATTAACATATATTATCCGTCCAAAACAGGCTAAACATATAAAATAGGATAGATTAGTAAAAAATTCTCATCCTACTTTTACAGGCCTTTTGATACCAAATGAATCAAGAATTCATTTTATTTAAAAATGAATTACCTTGTAAAATTCATTAATTCCTTTAGAAATAGGGTTAATAACATTTTGTACTCCTTTACTTTGCTAAATTAACAAACGTACCTCTCTATTACATTTTTCCACAAACATACCCTTCTAATATTAAATTATAACAAGTTTACCCTTCCATCTAATTATCTGTTATGTGACCGTTAAATTGGCTAGAAAATGATCTAATTGCCCCCTCATTTATTACTAATTTAAGTTTTAATTATTTTATTATTTATGTCCAGGATCAATTAATTACAAAAAGAAAACCCCTAAACTAATTCAGAAGAAATATCAAATAACCAGCATATGCTACTAGCGTTTCAATCAAATTCTTGTCAACGTTCCTCATACTACATAAATTGATGCTAAATAATATATGTAGAAGTAATTTAGTAGGGTAGTTTGGATCAAGAATTGTAACGGATCAATTTGACACAATTGTCTCGTTTTGAGACAATTGTACCAAATTGCCTCGTTTGCTAGCAAAAATCTTGGATGAATCAATCTCCCTGAGATATTTTGAATTGATCCGTTTTGAGTCAATTTCAATTACCTGGGGTGGGGACAGGTAATTCAAATTGACTCGTTTTAATTACCTCCTTTATAAAAACGAGACAATTGATCAAATTGACTCATTTCTAAATTGATCCATCCAAACGACCCCTTAGTTAATCAATGAAGATATTTATGTCATTATATTATAATTAGTAAATATTTGTGGAATTCATTTGGACATTACATCTCAATTTCTCGTAATTTCTATAACTAGCTCTAATTTTATAAAATACAAAATTTTGAATTGAAAATAAATTATTTTACATATAAAAAAATAATTTCATTTCAAAATGAATTCCACAAAACCATGGTTGTCACGCCAGCCGGCGTGCCACAAGTTGAACCGGTACCAGACATAAAACCGACGTGACACTACCGGTATGACAGGCTTGATCGATATATGAATCTCTAAATAAAATGACCTTATTTTAGTGAATTTAATTGATAAAAATTATTTTATAATTTATTTTATTAGTATAAAAGTTAAATATTGATGTTATTTGTTGGATTCAAGTATAAATGCTTAGGTATTGACGTTAAATGTCATGTTTAAATATGATTATTTATAATTTTATTTGTAATATTGACCAGCATACCCCGGTACAAACCGGTATGTGCCACCGGTCGAACCATTCCACTTGCTAAACCGGCACACTAGCATAAACCGGTTTGACAGCCTTTCACAAAGAGGATTGTTATTTGCCGCCCGAAATATTACTATTTGCCGCCCACCGTTTTAAAGTAAATGACGATTTGCCACTTATTTTTTAAAACCCTCCGATGTATCAACCACTGTCGGCTTCCCTCCCCTGCCGGAAAATCGCCCTCACTAACCCCAACCCTTACACCTCTCTTTCCTCCAAGCCAATACCCCTGCACCGCTTCCTCTCCTGTCCCTACCGTCACCATCAGATTCAAGAGAAGCGCCGACCAGAAATCCAATCTGACAACGATTCACCGCCGACCACAAGCAAAACCCCAAAATCCATCCCACGCCTTCTCCCTGGCATCGTCATCGTCTTCCCCGACCGTCAACTCCCCATCGTCCGACGGAGATCAGCATTCCAACGTCAGAGTTCGAACGGAGAAGCGTGGTCCGATTATCGGCGTCGGACCCCGTCCGATCACCGGCGTCGGACCACGTTTGAAAGTAGAGATGGTGAAGGAGAGGAGGGAGAGAGTGCAATCGACGGGTAGCAAAGTTTCAGGGGGGTTAATTTGAGAGAGAAGTATATTAAATGGTAATGGTTTAGGATTCTGCCCGTAAATGACATGGATTGGGGGAATTATTGGTAATATTATTGTATTAAATATTAATATTATCATTTAATTAGGAAAGGGGTTGATGGTGATAACATCAGTAAATTACGTGGTAGTCATTAACTATATATAATTATGTTAAATTAGGGTTTAATTGGATTACGCGCGGTTTAACGAGTCTAGGGTTTGACCTTGACCAATTAGGATTCAAAATAACTTATTAGTTTGAATATTGATTAAATAATTATTTTTTAAGTATTTATAATATCAAATATATTTTATAATATTATGAATATTTAATTACAAATGATCATAAATATTGTACAAACTTATGGATAATTTATATAACTTGGTGGGATGAGCTTTTTCTTGATTGAATATTTAACATAATATTTAATTAAAATCAAATCCAAATCAGTAAATATAAAACATAAAATCAATGTCTATGAGAAGTTTGATATTACATACTAAAATCAATTTTCGCATTTACTAGAGCCATCGACTTAAAAAGTATTGAAATCCTCGTTGATACTCTAAAATGTGGATACGAAAGAGGTAGAATGTGTAAAAGAGAACATATGCTTTCATTTTTTCTTACTGTTATTGTTGTTTCGATTAGATTAAAATTAATTAATCTAGCTAATTCCATGTTTAAAATCCAACCTCAACCCATTTATTCACTAAACTATTTTTTCGCAAAGAAATTCAAAAAGAATTACTTTAAGTGATTAAATTAAACTCACCTACTATTATTAAAATAGGTAATTAATTATTAAATTATGTTCCTCCTTATTCTGTTGGTAGCATCAAAGAGGAAAATAATTAATAATAAAAAATATTACTTATTATGGGCTTAGAGGTGATAATTAAGGAAAGATTGTTTCTGCTGTCAATTCACAATCAAAGAGGAAGACGTGATTCAATTAATTTATTTTAGTCTATTCAATTAGATTATTTTTATTTGTTTAACGTAATAAGTGTTAAACAATGGTAACTGCCATTTTTTAATTTTTATCGCTATTGGACGTGCATTTTTCATTGTTAATTAGAGAAAGTAATTACCTTAATTAAAATCTATGGGAGTTGGGAAATAAAATTGGAGGTGGTTAATGAATAATTTTGGAATTCGCATTGTGATACGGTGAGAGAAAGACGTGAGAGTTATAGCTATTTAATACAAAAACTCAACTAATTAATGGTGGTTACGGGAAATCAGCTAATTAAGAATAAATTGTGGATGCGAACGTTTACCTAATTAACAACGTAAAAAATGTCTCTTATTGACTCCTCCCCCATTAAGACGTCTAACTACATCCCCCATTAAATATTAAAATAATAATCCAAATGGATTCTCGGTTATTAATTAGGGAAATAGAATTTTGGTTTTATTTAAGGAAATAGTTAATAATTTCACAAAAAAATGAAATTAATTAATAATCACTTATTTTCGATTGCCCGTGTCGGACGGGACGAAGATGGTGCAGACGCCGACGGTCGTTGGGCGTTCATAGGACGGGGTCCGCCGGCGTTCATCGGACGGGGTCCGCTCGCCTGAGTCGGACGGGTAAAAAAAATGAAAATAAACATACTTTGGACGGCGAGCTTCTTCCTCGATGGTGGTGGTGACGCAACAACGACCCTCTTCTATAGCTGGAGGCGTCGAGTTGGAGTTGTATGAAGAGGGAGGTAAGCAGCCGGCGGAGAGTTGGAATTGTGTGGAGAGGCAGTTTCCAGCCGATGGCGTCTTGGAGTTGGAGTAGAAAAATGGAGATGCGGCGGCGGAGGGAGGTTGCCGGCGACGTGGAGAGGGTCCGGCAGTTAGTGTTTTAAATGAAAGGAAGGTAAAATTGTAATTACGTTTGAAAATTATGGGCGGCAAATAGTAAATATTAGGGCGGCAAATAGCAGTTCATTTCACAAAACTAATGAAATTTATAACAAAGGTATGTTAAAGAAGAGGAATTTTACAATGCTTTAAAGCATTGGTGCTTTAGTTTTTGTCTTTATGGTACAACTTGAAGTTGTACCTTTAAGGTTATGGTACAACTTTAGGTTGTACCTATACTATTTTGTAAAATCCCTTTATGGTACAAACTAAAGTTGTACATTTAAGTTATGGTACAACTTGAAGAGTTGAAGTTGTACCACAACATAAAGATCAAATTCCCTTATGGTACAACTCTAACTTGTACCTTTAAAGTTGTGGTACAACTTAAAGTTGTACTTTAAACCATCAATACTATAAAGCATAGTAGAAAAACTAGTTAAAGAATTCAGCCCCATTTTATTAACTTTCTCTTTCCACTCTCTTAAATATGAAATTATTCATCCCAATTCCCACATTCCAATTCCAACTACTAGGGATGGCAGAATTACCCATGCCCATTGAGTTTTAAATATCCAACCCATGTGGGTCAGGTCTGAAATCCAAGTCAACTTTAAATGGGTAAAGTCTAATGGGTCAACACCCATACCCATAATGTTGGATCCACTTGGGTTTTACCCATGGATTTGGGTTTCAAAATCCAAACCCAAATAATAAAAAAATGAAAATGAAAAAACCCTCTACCTCACTCACTCGTCAATCGTCATCGTCCCTATTTCCCAGGTCTCACTTACTCGGCAATCGACATTTTCGTTTCCCTCAACCCTCCGCCGGCGGCGACAATGTTGATGAACAAAATCCAAGAATCGGAGACGGCGATCGGAGAGCGGACCTGAAGCTGGCCTCTCTTGCCTCACGAATCGGACACGGAAGCGCCGTGCCACGTTTCAGATTCCGCCGGGAGATTGAAGCGTCGCCTATTTGCCTGCTCCTCCTCATCAATAGAGTCGAGAAGCCAACCAGAAACCCATTCCGGCAAGCGCCCGACGTCTTGATTGTTCTCTTCTCCAATTGACCCGGCGTATTGTATAGACAACCAGAAACCCACTCCGGCAAGCGCCCGACGTCTTGGGTGTTTTCGTCTCCAATCGACCTGAGACCAACCAGCTTCAGGTATGCTTCATCTTCCACTAAGTGAACTGGGTTTTACTAAACAGAGGAACATGAATTTCAGATGCGGTAAACTGGGATTGCTTGTTGGTTTACGTCATGAGTTTCAGGGAAAATTTTGATTTACGTTTGATAAAAAGAATGCAGGGGAAGTGCCTTGCATAATTGAATACCAGATAAGGTTGCTGGTTTTAACTGGAAGTTGAGCTGGTTTTAATTCCGACGTCTTTTGGATCTTATAGAATCTCTCGCAAAGAGGTTGCTTATTTTAACTGGAAGTTGAGCTTTGTGATTAAGAACTTGTAGATTGGTGGTTTTAACTGGATCATTGACTCTGATGACTATGACTACATTTGTGATATTTTCTTTACAGTCTTTCTTCTCCTTAATGTTTTCTGTTCTCATTTTGAACTGAAGCATATCTTATTGTGAATGTTTGAATGATTGCTTGTTGTTTGCTTGGTTTTTCTAGGGAAATATGGCTTCAGAAATGAATGACGATAGTCTATCTATGAATCATGAGAGTAGTAATCATGGACAGCCTAGTGTGTCTTCTAGTCGTATGGTATGGTCTTCTGAGAAGCAGTGGTCTGATGTGTGGAAGGATTATGATCGAGTTGTAATTAGTGGGTTGAGAAAAGCTGAATACAAATACTGTCATAGAAGGCTTGCTGCTGAATCCAACTCTGGAACTTCTCATTTGCGCAATCATTTGTTTAAATGTCTAGTACAAAATGCTAATCCAATCATGGTTGGTGGACTTTTGGGTAGTAAGAAAAGGAAAATTGGTACTGGAAGTTCGAGTACTGTAACAAGAACATACAGGCAAGGCAGCTTTATGTTGTTATGTGTCGATTATACAACTTTCTTCTTTCTTTCTCTTGTAATTTGGAGGTTCTTTTGGGGACCTGTTTTGGTTAGGAATTCTTTGATTGAGATTTTTAGGAGATAGGAGGTGATAATGATAAAGAGAGGCAAGTTACAGGAGCTGCTAGGTATTGCTGCAAGTAGAAGAGGGTTAGTTTTGTTCCATTCAAAACATGTAGTAGGAAAAAAGGATAAGCTTATGATAATGCTGCTATTTCTAATTCAGTTGTTTCTAATTTAGTTGTGTTATTATATTTGCAGGTGTAGCCATTTTCTCTTCAGATGTTGATGGTTCGACTCAAACCATATTCTCTGAGAATGATGGCGGTGATGATGAACAAGTTATGGAATATGATGACTGAGAAAGAATCTGGGAGTTTGTATCTAAAGTCATCTATCTAAGTTATTATTAGGGCAGCTGTTTTCTATGAAAGATGCTGTACTTTTCTGAAGCACAAACTGGTAATCTTAGGTAGGGCTGCAAATGAGCCGAGTCGAGTCGAGTTTTTGCTTAGCTTGAGCTCGGCTCGTTTATTAATTTTTCAGCTCGAGCTCGGCTCGAACTCGAATTTTGATAATCCAGCTCGAGCTCGAGCTCGGCTTGAATAAAAATAATCTAGCTCGAGCTCGACTCGGTAGAGCTCGATAAATGCTCATTAACATAGCTTGTTAAGCTGAGTACAAGCTCGGCTCAAGATGAGCTCGATTTAAAATCATTTTTGCTGGAAAAATGTATAAACATAAGAATTTAAATGATAGAAAGAACACTAGAAACTAGAAATAACATCTAAATTTCATACACATCTGTATTATAAGACAATGTTCATGTTTAAAAGAGTAATTCATCCTTCCACAAGCTCAAAACAAGGCAGCTCGCGAGCTTAGCTCGACAAGCCACCGAATCAAGCTAGCTCGCGAGCTTATCAAGCTGAGCATGGTCTAGCTCAGGCTTGGCTCGTTAACTAACGAGTTGGCTCGCGAGCCGGCTTGTTAAATAACGAGTCGAGTGTCGAACGAGTTTTTTCCGATTCGAACCCCGAGTTGCTCGCGAGCGGCTTGGCTCATTTGCAGCCCTAATCTTAGGTATTATGTATGTTGTTGGTTGTGAGTGACGTGAGTGACATGGATGGATATTCCCCCATTTTGTTGTGATATTGTTGATGAACACTGGTTGGTTGCTTATCCATTTTCTATAAACCGTTTTCAAGCGTTTCTTAAATCATATTCAATATGTTGGAGAATGGCGTTTTCCTTATTTCCCAGAGATATCCCACTGATCTTCCGCAGCCCCTTTTTCTTCTGCTTCTTCTTCCAAACTGTTAAAATCCCCACAAAAAACCAGAAATTTTAAAAACAAACTCACCCACCCACATTGTTCTTACAAAACAATGAAACGTCCCTCTCCAAACCCTCCAACCCAAATCATAATCAAAACTCTAAAGAACGAAACTAATCATCATCTTTACACACTTCCATTCCATGATCCATCCCTCTCCCCAGCTAAAACTAACCTTAATTGGTTAACTTATAATTAATCAATTTAATCAGAAGAAGGGAGAGAGAGAGAGCCTTAATCACACGGTTTAATCTCTGAATCATCCCACGGAATGTTGAGATCCGTGGAAGAAACCAAATTATCCATGTCGACATCCCAATTCCAGTACCCGCTGCCGCCGCTCGCCATATCTTACTCCGGCATGATCTGCGTCATCGTCACCTGTTTCACCGACGAGTTCTCCTCTTCAACTTCTTGGACCTTGTGACGTGATGACGACGAGGCAGATGGTTCGATGCCTAGCCTAGATCCTAGATCCTAGATCCTAGATCGATGAACGTCCGGAGGACGACGATGGCGACGACCCATTCAAGGCCTTCCTGCCCAGATTCAAGAACCTTACCGCGGCGGGGAAGGTCTCGCTGCTCGAATTCTTCGGGGTTCCGGTGTACATGTCAATGTCGATGCAGAACGACGGCGAGCAGGTGACGCTGAAGACGAAGAGGACCACCGCATTGGTGACGGGCACACTGATGACGAGCAGCTCCTCGCCTGGAGCGAAATGGGATCTAGGATCCAAGGAGAACCCATAAATGGCTCGCAGAAGAGATCAACCATGTCTAGGGTAAGATCAGCGAGAAGAACTCTATTGGTTAGCAACGTGTAGAGAAATGTGGATGCCAGACTTATTATTCTGTTCCCTAAGCCATTCACAGGATGCCATATGAGATATTTACAGGCAGTACTATTACCAATGGAGGTAATATCGATGTCCTCCCCTGACCTGATGACTTCTAGGGTCCTGTTGTAGGAATCAGTATAAAGGCCACAGCTCCTACGGAGATGTTCGTAGCTTCGTAGTTTGAAGAGTAAATAAGCAGAAGGCTTCCTTTCAGATTTCTTGTAAAGTCGGCGCTGGAATCTGCTTAAGCATGACTTCTCATCGAACCCTGGAGCAGAAACACCATCATCAGACAGGTTGTGTTCATTGCTTTCGTTATGAGCAAATCCTTTGCCAACTGGGTGTGGATCATCTGATAGGTTGTGTGCATTGCTTTCATTAAGATCAACTCCTTGTCCAACTGGGTGTGGATCGTCAACCAGGTTGTGTGCATTGCTTTCGTTAAGAGCAACTCCTTGTCCTACTGGGCGTGGATCATCATATAGGTTGTGTGCATTGCTTCCATTAAGAGCAGCTCCTTGTCCAATTGGGTGTGGATCATCAGATAGGTTGTGTGCATTGCTTTCGTTAAGAGCAACTCCTTGTCCAACTGGGCGTGGATCATCAGATTGGTTTTGCGCATTGCTTTCCTTAAGAGCAGATCCTTGTCCAACTGGTTGTGGATCATCAACCAGGTGGTGTGCATTGTTGTTGTTATAAGCAGCTCCTTCTCCAACTGGGTGTAGTTTGTACAATTGCCCGAGCACGTCGGAGATAGAGGATTCCTGATGAATACCAGGGATCAAGATGACCAAAACAGGCAAAGCTATAAAGCAAACTGCCATTGCAGTCAGGAACCTTAGTGAAGCTACAAGTCCTTGCTGGTTTTCCATAGCATAGTAGTGGGAGTGGGAGTGACCTGATACACGGAAAGAAACATCTCACCATTCGCTCACTGCCTCACTGCAAGATATGTTGTGCCAGTCTGCTTACTCATAAAAGAAGTATCAGAAAGACACGAAGAAATTTGTAGCTGAAAATGGAGCGAAATGCATACCTGTGAACTGAGGGAACAAGGGGTGCGGATAGTATAACAACACCATTAGTGTTGTTATAGTAACATCATAATTCATTAAGGGTAAAAGAGTAAAATTACACAAAAATAAATATAAATCTAAAATTATTCCACCTCCCTCTTCCTCAACCGCTTTCACGTGAATCCTGCAATCTCTGGCGTTTTTCTCTCTCTCCATGTTTCTCCAGATTTTAGATCCGGTCGGCGTTCTCAATCATCGTCTCTTTCCCATCTCCACAATCACCGCCGTCGCCGCCGCTGGCGTAAGCTACTAACTACCACACTCCCCGCCCCTCCACTACCGCCGGGCAACTTCCTCTTCGGCTTGACCTCCTGCAGCATCAACACCACTTCCCTCATCCATGGTCGGTCCGCCGGGTTCCTGCTGGTGCACAACAACGCGATCCTGAGCATCTGCATCATCTCCTCTCTCACCGACGGGATCGACCCGCCGGCGTCCTTGTCTAGCTCGTCGTTCAACCCTTCTTTCCCCTTTATCTTTGACCTCACCAAGTCCACTATGTTGTTCCCTTCCCCAAACTCCGAGCCCACCGACCTCTTCTCGCTCAGCAACTCCATAGACGGCTTCTCAAACGAATTTGGATGACTAGCTGGTTTTTGTTTCAATGCAGTTGGTGTCATTTTCTTAAGGGATACTCTGTACCTCAACAGGTGAGATTTTCATGTTGTCAAAGTTCAATTCCTTGTCATTCTTCCACATTTTGAATGATTAGTCTACTGCTACTACTCACATAAGCTCTTATGACTGGGTTTTTGTAGTTTGATTGAGCATTTGTGATTGTTGTCGAGTTCTATTTATTGACACTTGGTTTTATACTCAGTCCTCAAACAATTGCACTTTTCCCCAATTATAATTGTAGTGGGAGGAAAATTGTAGCAACTTGTTCCCAATTAGAATTGGTTATATTTAACAAGTCTGTGTTCCAGCTTTATATGTATATAATCCTTTTGAATTTGTTTTTATCGGTAGGAATTAAGAGAAGAAAAACATCATCAATGCCACAACTTTGTAGATAGCAAGGAGCCAAGCATGGGTGAGATTGCTTCATAGACAGGCCAGTATAATAAAAACCTTATATCCCATCAATACAACCCAAAATGATAAATTTTGCTTTATAAAGATAATTTGGATGACTTCGCATTTTCGTTTGAGACCACCGACCTCACAAAACAAATCACAAAATTTTCAAAAACACACCAAAAATCTCATAATGCAAACCACAAACACGTTAAAGAAAACCACAAAAACAAACCAGAAACCTCCTAATGCATACCACAAATCTCCTAAAACAAACCACAAACCTCACAAAGCAAACCACAACATTTGCGAAAGCACACCTGAAACCTCCTAATGCCAACCACAAACACAGTAAGGAAACCACAAACACGATAAAGGAAACCACAAAAACAAACCAAAAACGTCCTAATGCAGACCAAAAATATATTAAAACAAACCAGAAACCTCACAAAGAAAACCACAAAATTTTCAAAAACACACCAGAAACCTCATAATGCTAACAACAAACACATTAAAACAAACCACAAAAACAAACCAGAAACCTCCTAATGCATACCACAAATCTCCTAAAACAAACCACAAACCCCTCAATGCAAACCACAAATTTTTTTAAAGCAAACTAGAAACTTCTCAATGCAAACCACAAACACGATAAAGCAAACCAGAAACTTCTAAATGCAAACCACAAACACGATAAAGCAAACCACAAAAGGCATACAAAAATATGAGAAACCAAACCATAAATCTCACAATGCAGACCATAACATCCGGTGGTCGTTGACCGTCAACAAAGTTCGTTGATCGAACTCCGGTGACCGTCAGTCAGCAGATTCCGACGTCGATAGGCATATTCCGGCCCCGATGACTAGATTCCGACGCCGGTAAGCATATTGCGACCGCGGTGAGCATATTCCGGCGACGATGGCATATTCCGATGACAAAATAGCATTTCTGGCGACAAAAAACATATTCCGGTAACCGGCGACCAGTTCCCAGCTACCGGTGTCAGAACTCCGACGACCAAAATTTTGGGCCGAAAATAAAAAATATTATTTTATTTTTATTTAAACATATTTTTAATAATGACAGTTATACCCATGCTTTGATTTTACACTAGGTCAACTCATCTAATAAAAAGTCATCACAACCTTAGTTTCCTGTTGATTGGAGACTAATGTTGTTATAATAACAACACAAAGAGTGTTGTCATAGTATCTAGTCCCGGGAACAAGATACTCTGCAAGCTAGCTCTTCAGAAGCGCCATTGGCTGGCTGATTGACTGTTCAATAAGTTGCAGAATATAAGGATGATTTTCTCTCTTTCCATATCTTAACCTTGAGATTGAGAATTTACTCAATGAATTACTATTGATTGTATTGGTTGGAATCAGTGTTAACTTGTAATCTAAGTGTTGCAGCAGAGTCAAAGGAAGACTTGTAATTATTTATGCTTTTATGCTTTTATGCTTTTGTTTGTTGGGGAATCTTTCAGAAGGGAATGGATCACGTCAGTAACCTTATGATGAGTAACTATGAGTAACCAGCCAACATCAGCATGACATCATCATCCCTCTCTCCTAGAAAGCCTTTAATTTTCCCCTTCTTAATCTTTGACAGACGATTTCTCACTCGTTTTAAGTCGAAATTTAATTTTTTTGCACAGTTAGATAAGATTAATTGTGCTCTTCAAAATGATATCCACTTTGATATATTTTTCGAACAAAAAAAATTGAGCCATTTTTTACCAGTCTATACCATATGGTATTGACTGGTATTGAAATAAGAACATACCTATGGTTTGAAAAGCGTACCATGGTGGTATGAACAAACCAAGACTGTAGGATGGTTGAATACATGATAATAGAAGTATATTAACTGTCATTTACGACTTTTATCATTGTGTACCATAATATACCACTCCGTACCAGGGTGGTATTGTATGGTATTGTGTGATATTTTTTGGTCATGTAATTTTTTCCCCCATAAATTTGTAGATACAATAGATCATGATGAACTCGTCCCTTCTGTGCAAACGTTTTCAAAAACGAATTAAATACGAAGAAAATACCATAATATACCACCCCGTACCAGGGTGGTATTGTGTGGTATTTTTTGCTCATGTAATTTGTTCACCCAGAAATTTGTAGATCCAATAGATCATGATGAACTCGTCCCTTCTATCCAAACGTTTTCAAAAACGAATCAAAAACGAAGAAAATACCATATGGTATGCAGTTGGTACCGAGAGGCCAATTTTTTTTTCTAAAAAAATATTGAAAATTGATCTCATTTTGTAGAGCAAGATGAACTCGTTCCATCTGTGCAAAAAAAAATTAAAATTCGAGTTAAAACGAAAAAGATATGAGCCGATTAAAAAAGGTAGGAAAAATAAAAATGATCTTTAATTCTCTATCCTTAGATCTGGATTTTCTAAATGAAAAGTCCATATTTGGTTATTAATGGGTGCATAACCCATGGTTATGCACCCTATCTTGAGCCCTTTCAGAATTAGCTTATTGTAAAGCCATGCGGTTTTACTTAATGACCTACTTATAGAGAAGCCATGTGGTTTTAGTTAAAGTCATATATACTTAGGGAAAGGCGAAGGATTAGTTATCGTTAATAGAGGTATTGAAAAAACAATTAGCTGAGTAATTAGGTGGCCGTCGAGTGTTGACTTTTGTTGTTCTGTGTGTTTTTCCTTTTTAAATTAGACGACGCAAGGAATAGAAACTCAGGAAATAGAATTCTATGTCCAAATTGTTTGGTGGGAATGGTATTTGAACATGCGTATTGTATTGTATGTGCATTTTAAATTTTTCAAATGATTTAAAATGTATAATCTTGTATGACATAAGATGATTTCGAACTTAATTCTCAATTTTTGAAATCATAATAACATTTTATCAATGACCGAACATTGTATTCTTAATGATTATAACATTTCCCAGAACTCGTGAGTCATGACATGTCTATTTAATGATACAATCACTTAGTTATCTATGGTTGAAAAGAAAAATGCCATAAAAAAAAAGTTTGTCCAACAAAATATAATATTGATAGGGAAAGCATAACCATAAGTTTTTGCCCATATTTGTATATCTTGACGTACATATAAAACTTTAAACGTTAAAGTATTATAAACAATGCAATGGCAAAACTGATAGGAAAATAAAATTTCTCATCCTTACACTATGTCCTAAGAAAATGTTTGTCAGCCAACATACTCGATTTTTAGTTGTAGGTCAATGGGTTGAGCAAATCGAGAAACCAATGACGAATTATTGGCCATTCCTGAGGAGCATCCTCTTTATATGGGGACTACAAGTTGCCTCTCCTTGCTGTGGCGGAGAGAAGGTGAAAATTCAATAACCTCTCCTTGATCCTCACATCGTCGGAGACGATCGCAGCTCGATTTGTCGGAGTGGTGATCAAGTAAGTCAGGGATCTGGTAGACAAACCAACGACGAAGATGCTCCATCTCGGAGAATCGATGATTCTTCTTCTCTATGGCGTGAATCATTGTTTCAATGATGAATTTGGGTGTTTCTTTAGCTATAAAGTTTATAAACTAGAAGAAGAGAAGAAAGACTTGTTGTCTCGGGAGAGAAAGAAGAAGGGGAAGGTTGGAGAAAAAGCGTAAAACAGAAGGACAAAGATGGAAAAGTAAGAAAGGAATACGTTATTTGAAAATAACAGGCTGGTAGGAGTTATTTTCAATAACACATTTCTCTGTTATTTGTAAATACACGGTTCACACCTTCCCGAGCAATGTTTGAACGATTGTGTATGATGTTTCTGATGGTTTTTTTTTGGAATAAGCTAAGTTAATTACACCTACTCCTATGGAGGTTCAATGAGAGCTCCGAAAACTAAAGACTATGACTGAAGTGTAGAGAAAACATAAAGTTTGATATTGGGTGTCAAATGTTTGGTTGTGAAACCATTTTCCAGTCTTTGTTTCTCTTATTTATAGCCATCATGTGTAACCACCCTTGTAATTGCTAGCTTGTCGGTTACTCAACTGCCTATGGACTCTCATTGCCAACCGCTTCAGGGTCCTCATCGCTACCTTGGTGACCAGCTGATAACTATCCTCTAGGTGGCCTACCTTGGTAACCTCTAACTTGTCTATTGCTCCAACTGCCTTAGGGACCCTTTATCGCCGCCTTGGTAACCAATGGGTAACCGTTGCTTTGGTGTTAACTCCCATCACCTTGGGGCCCCTTGCCCCATCTTGTTGATTGGTTGGTACTTTATGGCCTTGACGCCAGGCCCGGTTTGTGTTGAGTCTTTCACCTTGTCTTGACTGGATGGGGTTAAAGCTCCTTGCATTGAGTCCATGACAAATCTTGAGCACACCCTTGACAACCCTCAAGACTCCCCACTTAGTTTTGTTGCTATCGTCTTGCTTTAGCTTTTGTTGTCTCTTGGGCTTTATACTCTCTGCTACCAAGCCAGTCATGTTGGCCCCTACTACCAAGCCAGCCTTGTCGGGTTGGTCTACATACTTAGTTGTTAAAATCTCAACAAGTTGGTATATTGCACCTTGCCTGCTTGGTACTCCGTTAGGGGCCACCAAGCTCATTTTGGGACTTAGTCTCCATATGGCCCCCTAAGGGGCTCTACACCAAGTCCTTATCAAATTGGTATCCTCTCAGCTCAGCATTCTGGACGACCGGTTTCCACCCTCAAGATTTCATACTTAGTCTTGAGAATATATGTATTGACCATGATAGCTTGGTACCCAGTCGGGTGGCCACCTTGTCATCTCCTCATCGAGTTAGCACCCTGCTAATTTGATCTCTATACTTAGTTTTTTGGGATATCTTGTAACTTAATACCAAGTAAGTCTTGCTGGCTTGGCACCCTGTCGCCTTGCTACCGGACCATCAAGACTCCAAACTTAGCCAATTTTATGTCTTGGTACCAAGCTTGTCTTGCTGGCTTGGTACCACATTGGCTCCATACTTAAGCCAAATTTCATATCTTGGTACCAAGCATGCCTTGTTGGTTTGGTACCCCTTGGCCTCGTACTTAGCCAAATTTCAAGTCTTGGTACCAAGCCTGTCTTGTGCGACTTGGTACACTATTGGCTAGCTATCAAGTCTGCGTTGTTTCCAGACTTAGTTTTTTTAGAGGCATATTTCATATCCAGTAGCTTGTTACAAGGAGCAAGGGCATCGGCTATCGAGGTTGTGAGGGTCGTCGACCCTCTATACTAGAAAAAGGGAGTTTAGCCACTTAGGTCCAAAAACCCAACCCAATAAGATCAAACTAGCTCATTTAATGTTTAACGGTGAGCTGACTTTATAAAGTCACTAAACCTCTTGTACTTCAAAAAAGTCAGGAGTGGCGGGATGTTGAAGCTCACAACCCTCTCATGCACTTCAGAACCAAGCATATACCCATTGATTACCATTTTGTGCGAGAGAAGGTCACTACTGAGATGAATGAAACTACTCGCACATCTTAAGCTACTTTGGTAGCGATGACAAATGGGGCAGCTACCTTTGAGCGCCAACTTTCAAAACGTCTTAATCGTGCCATTATCATTTCATTTTCTCGGGAATTTCCAAGTATTCTTTAATCGATGTAGTATGAAATTAATTTTTAGGTGTAAGCAATTTTATAACAAAATAGATTTTTTTTTACCACATAACTCATTGTGAGTAAATAAACTATACAAACAACCCATCAAGACAACCCTTGAAATCATTTGAAATTGTTTGATTTTTTTATCCACTTTAAAGTAGAAATCACAATAGGTCAAATTCATATAGAATATTTTGTTTTGGGCCACACGTAGAGTAGAAGGTAAGTCGATCCATATAAGTATATATTCTTAAAGGATAAACACTTAAATTACATATCAAAACTAAAAAGAATCTATGACAAACTAAATGTTAGTTTACATATGTTCTCACATACTTACAACTTTATTATAACTAAAATATGATTTAACAAGAATAATATTGCATATAATTTAGATAAAACGAATTGAGAATGAGACGAATCCTAATGGATCAGACAAGCAAATCAAATTCATATATTAGCAGTCGGAGAACAAATCAAATTCAACAAACATAATGAATTAGTTCAAAATTTCAAACATTTTTTTTGGTTGAAAAATCCTATTTTTAAACCAACTGAACTTGCTAAAACAAAGAATTGGGCCCCTTTTTTTTAATTAAACTCCTCTTTCTACTCTCTTAAATCTGAAATTAGCTTTATTCCTGCCAATTCCGAATACCAGCAGACAACCAAACCCTAAAAGGAAAAATCAATCGATTCAACTATATTTCTCACTTCGTTCTACTGATAAACAAATTGGCCATATTCCTCCTCCTAAAGAATTCAATCATCGTCATCTTGAGCTAGCTTCTACAACTCTTCATGAACGTCAACTAGTTTCACTCCACTCTTCCAGTCCTCGCAATGCTTCAAATAAGCCACATTTTCAGTAACATCATCGTGTCTGCTGCTGCCGCTGTTGTTTCTATCGCCAATGCAGTTCCTAGACGGAGGAGGCCATTGAAAGCATGGCTCTACTGACAGGTCTCTTACACATGAATCACGGAAACCATACCCCGGTCGTAGCAGGATCCAGGCTCGATTTGCTCCTAAACCCTGAGCTGCATACCCAAAGGTCGAATCTGCGCTAATCACCAGCTTCTCACACATGCTAAGCAGATATATCTCAACCAATGCCTTCATGTTGTGCTCGCCGTCCTCGAACCTCTGCTTCCCCTCGTGGCTCGGCTGGTAAAACTTGATCACTTCGCCGCTAACTGTTTGTTTGTTTGAGTACATTGTGCTGAGGTTCTGGTAGAATTGTGGGTACAAGGATGTTATTAGGACAGCTGTTGTTGTTGTTGTTGGTGTCTGATTTCTGGGTGAGGAAGAAGAAGATGAAAGTTTCGGTTTCTTGTTGTCGATCTTAGGAAGATGGGTTTGGTTCTGCAAGCAAGTCAGAATTTTATCTGTAAGAATTGGAATGAATTGCTCTTCAAAGACTCTTACTTGGAGCCCGATCCTTTCATCTGCTTTGGCAAGATTTGCTTCGTAGAATCTGGTGATTAGCTCCCAAGCCTGATTCGAAGGGAGCATTAGATAGTGAACCAGGTGATGGTAGACTGCTTCTTTCTCTGGGAACAGTCTGATTGCCTCCTTTTTGAATGACTTAATGAGGAAGAGAGAAGGCACGAAGTATTGGTCCGATAGCAGACTCAAACAGGGGACTCTCCGAAGAAATGATTGGCTTTCATCGCAGTAGAAACTACTAGGCTCATCAGCGTACTTCCCTTGGTATAGATTGATGAAAAGAAATGGAGGTGCTTTGGCAGGGGAGTCTGGTGGTGTCACTTTCAATGTGCTGTTCTTCAGGGCTTTGCCGGCGCTGTGAGCAAATCTTAACTTACCGTTACGGGCAAGGTTCCTGAGAGGAAACTCCAGAGGTAGGATCCAAGGAGAGCCCAGAAACGGCTCGCAGAAGAGATCAGCCATGTCTTGGGTAAGATCAGCAAGAAGAACTCTGTCGGTTAGCAAAGCGTAGAGAAATGTGGATGCCAGACTTATCATTCTGTTCCCTAGGCCATTCACAGGATGCCATATGAGATATTTACAGGCAGTAATGCTACCAGTGGTGGTATCATCGACGTCCTCCCCTGACCTGATCACTGTCAGAGTTCTGTTGTAGGGATCAGTGTAGAGGCCACAGCGCCTGTGGAGATGTTCGTAGCTTCTCAGTTTGGAGAGTAAATAAGCAGAAGGCTTCCTTTCAGATTTGCGGTAAAGTCGGTGCTGGAATCTGCTTAAGCATGACTTCTCGTCGAACCCTGGAGCAAAAAGACCATCATCAGACAGGTTGTGTTCATTGCTGTCGTTATGAGCAACTCCTTGTCCGACTGGGTGCGGAACATCAGATAGGTTGTGTGCATTGCTTTCGTTAAGAGCAACTCCTTGTCCAACTGCATGTGGATCATCAACCAGGTGTGCATTGCTTTCGTTAAGAGCAACTCCTTGTCCTACTGGGTGTGGATCATCAACCGGATGGTGTGCATTGCTGTTGCTATGAGCAACTCCTTGTCCACCTGGTTGTTCATCAGATAGGTTGTGTGCATTGCTTTCGTTAAGAGCAACTCCTTGTCCAACTGGTTGTGGATCATCAACCAGGTGGTGTGCATTGCTGTTGTTATAAGCAGCTCCTTCTCCAACTGGGTGTAGTTTGTACAATCGCCCGAGCACATCGGAGATAGGGGATTCCTGATGAATTCCAGGGATCAAGATGACCAAAACAGGCAACGCTATAAAGCAAACTGCCATTGCAGTCAGGAATCTCCTTGAAGCTACAAGTCCTTGCTGGTTTTCCATAGCATAGCAATGGGAGTGACCTGATACACCAAAAGAAACATCTCACCATTCGCTCACTGCAAGATATGCTGTGCCAGTCTGTTTACTCATAAGAGAAGTATCAGACAGAAAGACACGAAGAAATTCGCAGCTGAAAATGAAGCGAAAGGCATACCTGAGAGCTGAGGGAACAAGAAACTCTGCCTTCAGAAGCGCCACTGGCTGACTGTTCAATGAGTTGCAGAATATAAGGATGATTTTTTCTATTTCCATATCTTAACCTTGAGATTGAGAATTTACGCTATGAATTACTATTGAAGTATTGGTTGGAATCCATGTTAACTTGTAATCTAAGTGTTGCAGCAGAGTCAAAGAAAGACTCATAATTATTTATGCCAGAAAAGGAAAATAAGCAACTAATAAGTCATTTTTTTACGCTTTTGTTTGCTGGGGAATCTTTCGGAATTAGCTTACTGTAAAGCCATGCGGTTTTACTTAATGACCTAGCCATGTGGTTTTAGTTAAAGTCATATATACTTAGGGAAAGGCGAAGGATTAGTTATCGTTAATAGAGGTATTGAAAAAACAATTAGCTGAGTAATTAGGTGGCCGTCGAGTGTTGACTTTTGTTGTTCTGTGTGTTTTTTCTTTTTAAATTAGACGACGCAAGGAATAGAAACTCAGGAAATAGATTCTATTGGGTTATAGGTATCATATGCCCATCTACTATGACGTTTTATCAAATATGCTTTTTCTACTATTGTTTACATCAAACATGTTCCTGTAATTTGTAAAAATGATCAAACATGCCTTTTTGTTTAAATTTTCATCCAAAAATCATTAACCAAGGTCGAACTTTAGTCTGGGCGGCACAAATGTCTAATATATCTCTAATAATTTTACTTTAGATTTTTTTTGTTCTTTTGTATAGTCAAATAATTCAAATAATTTCACTTTGAAGAGACCGAGAGAAATAAAACGGGAGACCAAACTGACATCATCGCTCCCATTTGTCGATGTCGGGTCGTCTAAATCTTGATTCAACCATGATTGACGATTTTTTCAATGGAAATTTTAACAGAAGGGCATGTTTGATAATTTTTTCTAAGTATAGGGGCATGTTTGATGTAAAAAATAGTAGATGGGCATGTTTGATAAAACGTCATAGTAGAGGGGCGTATTATACCTATAACCCAATTCTATTTCCAAATTGTGGTATTTGAACATAGCCTATTGTATTTTATGTGCATTTTAATTTTTTGAACTTATTTTTTCAAATTATTTGAACCCAAATCTTACATTTTTTATCAATAACCGAACATTGTATTCTTAATGATCATATCATTTCTCAAAAATCACTTAGTTATCTATTGTTGAAAAGAAAAGTGACATAACAAAAAAAAAAGTTTGTCTAACAAAATATAGTGTTGATAGGAAAAACATAACCATAACTTTTAGTCCATATTTGTTTCTCTTGACGTGAAATACAATGCGTACATATCAAACTTTAAACGTTAAAGTATTATAAACTATGCAATAGCAAATTTGATAGGAAAATAAAATTTCTCATCCTTACACTATGTCCTAAGAAAATGTTTGTCAGCCAACATACTAGATTTTGGTAGTAGGTCAATGGATTGAGCAAATCGAGAAACCAATGAAGAATTATTGGCCATTCCTGAGGAGCTTCCTCTTCATATGGGGACTACGAGTTGCCTCTCCTTGCTGTTAAGAATAGGGTTTGGAGAAACTTGTAGTTTCATTGATGATTCAGAGAACATTTACAAGCAGCTTATGTAGGCTGCAAAGAGGAAACCCTATCTACTGTAATTAACTACCAACGGCTATTAAACAGTAAAAGTAAACTAACAATCAAAATGGACCAATGGGAGCTGTACAACTGCCTAAGTATCATCGGCTAAGTGCTGTGTGTATGTTGGTAAGTGGAACGACACCATGGAGAAGGAAACGGTGTCGAAGCGTGCTTCTTCAAGCAACAATTTAAGGACCGGTTCTCCAGGTTAGACCCGTGAAACTAGAATCCAAAAACTGGGTCAATCCTTTCTTCTTCTTACCCTCCCTCAAGCCGAGGAGCATAGACATCTGCTACTCCAAGCTTGTCAAGAGGAAAGTGAAGACGATGTCGACTCAGCGCCTTGGTAAAAGTATCTGCAAGTTGAAGCTCAGATCTGACGTGAGTGACTATAACAATTTTGTCCAAAATGTGTTGACGAATCAGGTGACAATCCACTTCAATGTGTTTTATCCTTTCATGGAATACTGGATTGTGTGCAATGTGAATTGCAGATTGATTGTCACAAAACAAAGCTGCTGGTGATGTATGATCTATCCCCATTTTCAATAGCAGCTGCTTCAACCACACCATCTCACATGAAAGCATTGCAAGTGACATGTACTCTGCCTCAGAAGAGGACCTGGATACAGTTTGTTGTTTCTTAGTTCTCCATGTAATGAGTGAGTCTCCAAGAAAAGTGCAGTAACCAGTGAGTGATTTCCTTGTATCTGGGCAAGCTACCCAATCAGCATCTGAATACCCCTTTAGTTGTAATGAAGAATTGGTTTTGAACACCAGACCTTGTGTTGGTTTGCTTTTGAGATACCTGAAAACATGCTGCACAGCTTGCATATGTTGATCTGTGGGTTCCTTTTGATAATGATATAGCTGCTGTACCACATAAGTGATATCTGGTCTTGTTGTAGTAAGATATTGCAATTTGCCAACCAATCTTCTATAAGGTGTTGAGTCTGGAAGTAGGTTACCTGCTGTAGCAGACAGTCTAGTCTTGAGTTCTATAGGAGTTAACACTGGTTTACAGCTCAGAAATCCAGCATCCTTCAACATATCCAGACAATATTTCCTTTGACAAACAAAGATCCCTCTTGAACTTCTTGCAATCTCCAAACCTAAGAAGTATCTTAGTTTTTCCAAATCTTTGATCATGAACTCCCTTGCAAGGAAACCTTTTGTTTTGACAATCTATGACAAATCATTTCCTGCAACTATAATATCATCAAGATAGACTAGGAGTATGATAATCACGTCACCCTTAATCACTGTGAACATGGAATAATCTGCTTGAGATTGCTTGAAACCAAACTTCATCATAGCAGCAGTTAGCTTAGCAAACCATTGCCTACTAGCCTGCTTAAGTCCATATAATGATTTCTTGAGCAAACAAACTTGTTTGTGCTCAGAATTCTGTAATGTTAAACCTGAAGGAACTTCCATGTATATCAATTCATCCAAATCTCCATGAAAAAATGCATTACTGACATCCATTTGGTGTAAATGCCAGTTCTTAACTGCTGCAACAGACAATAAAGTCTTAACTGTATTAATCTTGGCCACTAGAGAATAAGTGTCCAAGAAATCTATACCATGAATTTGAGTAAAGCCTTTCGCAACCAAACGTGCTTTGTATCTTTCTATACTGTTATATGGATTTAGCTTAATCTTGAAAAACCAACGACATCCCACTACCTTTCTGCCAGGTGGTAAGTTAACAATCTCCTAGGTTCCATTAGCTTGTAGTGCCTTCAGTTCTTCCATAATTGCCTTTCTCCAATGCTCATGTTGAATAGCTTCTCTGTAAGAGTCTGGTTCTGACATGCTAAGAACACTGAGAGCATAGGCTTGAAATTCTGGTGTATGGTTTTGATCAGAGATAAAACTGGCTAAGGTGGCTAGTGAGTGTGGACTGGTATTGGTGGGTTTGAGGTTAGGAATTTGTGTTTTGTAATTCTGAACAAGGTATGATGGTGGTTTAGATTGTCTATCTGATCTTCTTAGAGAAGGTTCAGGTAAAGAGGGTTTAGGTGGATCAAAAGGTAATGCTAAAGCTTCTCCCTCAGAAGCATAATCATCATGAATGGATCCCTCCCTCATATCCTCAATCAGAGGAAGGAAAGGAGATTGAGGAGATGGAGAGAATGAAGGAGGTGGAGGTGGTGATGGTGGAGGAGGAGTTGGTGTGGGGGTATCAGGAAATGGATCAAATGAAATGGGGTGAGAAGGTATATGAGAAGAGGTAGCAGGTTGTGGAGAAGGGTCTCGTTTGTAAGGAAGAATTTGTTCATAGAACTTCACATCTCTTGACACAAACACTGCATGGGAAGATAAGTCAAGTAACTTGTATCCTTTTATCCCTGGGGTGAATCCCAAAAAGAGACACTGTCTAGCTCTGCTATCAAATTTCTTTCTGCCCTGAGATAAAGTTCCAGCATAACAAAGGCATCCAAAAACTCTCAAGAAGCTGTAATCAGGAGGTTTTCCATATAACCTTTCATAAGGTGTAATGTCATTCAACAATGCAAAAGGTAATCTGTTGATAAGGAACATAACATGTAGTACACAATCTGCCCAAAATGAAAGAGGTAAACCAGACTAGAATCTTAAAGCCCTGGCTATATTCAATATGTCCTGGTGCTTTCTCTCTACTCTTCCATTCTGCTGTGGGATCTCAACACAAGACATTTGATGGGAAATCCCATGTTGAGAATAGAAATCAGGCATGTGAAACTCAAGTCCCTGATCTGACCTGATAGTTTCGATTTTCTGACTAAAGTGCACATTCACCATAACACAGAAATTTTGCAGCAAATTTCTTGCTTCCGACTTAGCTTTCATCAGAAAAACCCATACACTTGTACTGCAATCATCTACAATAGTTAGTAAATATCTAAATCCATTGTAACTCATAACTGAGTGAGGCCCCCAAATGCCTACATGGATCAAGTCAAAAGGTGAGGCAGCTACAGAATCACTCAAACTGAAAGGTAGTTTCTTCTGCTTAGCAAAGTGACACAGACTTCTCTACTACATTACTACTTTGCTGAATTACATGTTGTCTCAATGAAGATGGATGCCCTAGCCTTGAGTGCCACAAGTCCAGGTTCTGTTGTGAGAAATTGTAAGTTGCTGCTATAATGGATGACTTTCCTTTAACAGCAGGCACCAGAACAAAATGAGAACATCGAGACATTTGGTAGAGACCTCTAACTTGATGGGCCAAGCCAATCCTCCTCCTGGTAAGAAGGTCCTGAATTTCACAGAAGGATGATTTGAAGGTAAGTGAGATGAAAAGTGTTTTGGTCAGTTTACTAATTGAGAGTAAATTGAAGGAGAAGGATGGGACAAAGAGGACTTGATGAAGGATTAAACCACATGGTAGCTGCACTATCCCTATATGGGTAGCCTCTGCCTTTTGACCATTATGCAGGGTGAGAAAAGCATCCTTAATCACTTTATAAGCTAAAAAGCATGACAAATTGCAAGATATATGGTCAGTAGCTCCTGCATCTATGATCCATACATCACTCAAAACAACCAATATGCAGAAAGAGTAAACTTGCCTGCAAAGTTTGGGAAACTTGGCAAGTTTCTGACAACATCATTAGCTTGAGGCATTACTCCAGGTGAGCTGACTTTATAAAACCATTAAATCTCTTGTACTTCAGAAAAGTTAGGAGTGACGGGATGCTAAAGCTCAAAACCTTCTCATGCACTCTAGAACCAAGCATATATCCATTGATTACCATTTCGTGCGACCGAAGTGTCGCTACTGAGATGAATGAAATAGATTATATTCCCACAATCCAGAATAATACTACTCACACATCTTAAGCTACTTAGGTAATGACTGCAAATGAGGCAACTACCTTTGAGCACTAACTTTCAAAACGTCCTAGCTGTGCCATTATTTCATTTTATTTTCTTGGGAATTTTCAGGTATTCTTTAATCGATTAGTATGAAATTAATTTTTAGGTGTAAACAATTTTATAACAATATAGATTATTTATTGACCAAATAACTCATTGTTAATAAATACTATACAAACAACCCATCATGATGACCCTCGAAATCATTTGAAATTGTTTGATTTTTTTATCCACTTTAAAGTAGGAATTACAATAGGTCAAATTCATGTAGAGTATTTTAGTTTGGGCCACATGTCGAGGGTAAGTCGATCCATAGAAGTATATATTCTTAAAGAATAAATAGTTAAATTTCATATAAAAACTAAAAAACAATCTATGACCAACTAAATGTTAGCTTACTGAGGTTCTCGCCTATTTTTAATTTTATTACAACTAAAATATGATTTAACAAGAATAAAATTGCATATAATTTAGATAAAATGAATCAAGAATGAGGCGAATAGTAACGGATCAGACGCGTAGAGTAAATTAGTTCATCCAATAGAGTGAATTAGTTCAAAAATTGCATCCTATTTTTAAACCAACTGAAGTTACTAAAACAAAGAATTCATCATATAAAACAAATATTTTATTAATGTCCTCTTTCTACTCTCTTAAGATGAAATTAGCTTTATTCCTGCCAAATGCCAATTCCGAATACTACCAGCAGCAGACAACCAAACCCTAAAAGGAAAAATCAATCGATTCAACTATATTTCTCACTTCGTTCTACTGATAAACAAATTGGCCATATTCCTCCTCCTAAAGAATTCAATCATCGCCATCTTGAGCTAGCTTCTACAACTCTTCATGAACGTCAACTAGTTTCACTCCACTCTTCCAGTCCTCGCAATGCTTCAAATAAGCCACATTTTCAGTAACATCATCGTGTCTGCTGCTGCCGCTGTTGTTTCTATCGCCAATGCAGTTCCTAGACGGAGGAGGCCATTGAAAGCATGGCTCTACTGACAGGTCTCTTACACATGAATCAAGGAAACCATACCCCGGTCGTAGCAGGATCCAGGCTCGATTTGCTCCTAAACCCTGAGCTGCATACCCAAAGGTCGAATCTGCGCTAATCACCAGCTTCTCACACATGCTAAGCAGATATATCTCAACCAATGCCTTCATGTTGTGCTCGCCGTCCTCGAACCTCTGCTTCCCCTCGTGGCTCGGCTGGTAAAACTTGATCACTTCGCCGCTAACTGTTTGTTTGTTTGAGTACATTGTGCTGAGGTTCTGGTAGAATTGTGGGTACAAGGATGTTATTAGGACAGCTGTTGTTGTTGTTGTTGGTGTCTGATTTCTGGGTGAGGAAGAAGAAGATGAAAGTTTCGGTTTCTTGTTGTCGATCTTAGGAAGATGGGTTTGGTTCTGCAAGCAAGTCAGAATTTTATCTGTAAGAATTGGAATGAATTGCTCTTCAAAGACTCTTACTTGGAGCCCGATCCTTTCATCTGCTTTGGCAAGATTTGCTTCGTAGAATCTGGTGATTAGCTCCCAAGCCTGATTCGAAGGGAGCATTAGATAGTGAACCAGGTGATGGTAGACTGCTTCTTTCTCTGGGAACAGTCTGATTGCCTCCTTTTTGAATGACTTAATGAGGAAGAGAGAAGGCACGAAGTATTGGTCCGATAGCAGACTCAAACAGGGGACTCTCCGAAGAAATGATTGGCTTTCATCGCAGTAGAAACTACTAGGCTCATCAGCGTACTTCCCTTGGTATAGATTGATGAAAAGAAATGGAGGTGCTTTGGCAGGGGAGTCTGGTGGTGTCACTTTCAATGTGCTGTTCTTCAGGGCTTTGCCGGCGCTGTGAGCAAATCTTAACTTACCGTTACGGGCAAGGTTCCTGAGAGGAAACTCCAGAGGTAGGATCCAAGGAGAGCCCAGAAACGGCTCGCAGAAGAGATCAGCCATGTCTTGGGTAAGATCAGCAAGAAGAACTCTGTCGGTTAGCAAAGCGTAGAGAAATGTGGATGCCAGACTTATCATTCTGTTCCCTAGGCCATTCACAGGATGCCATATGAGATATTTACAGGCAGTAATGCTACCAGTGGTGGTATCATCGACGTCCTCCCCTGACCTGATCACTGTCAGAGTTCTGTTGTAGGGATCAGTGTAGAGGCCACAGCGCCTGTGGAGATGTTCGTAGCTTCTCAGTTTGGAGAGTAAATAAGCAGAAGGCTTCCTTTCAGATTTGCGGTAAAGTCGGTGCTGGAATCTGCTTAAGCATGACTTCTCGTCGAACCCTGGAGCAAAAAGACCATCATCAGACAGGTTGTGTGCATTGCTGTCATTATGAGCAGCTCCTTGTCCAACTGGGTGTAGTTTGTACAATCGCCCGAGCACATCAGAGATAGAGGATTCATGATGAATCCCAGGGACCAAGATGACCAAAACAGGCAAAGCTATGAAGCAAACGGCCATAGCAGTCAGGAAACTCCGTGGAACTGTAAGTCCTTGCTGGTTTTCCATAGCATAGCAGTGGGAGTGACCTGAAAAACGAAATGAAATATCTCACCGTTCGCTCACTGCAAGTTATGCAATGCCATTTCGCTTACTCATAACAAGACTATTAGAAAGACTGCAAGAACGAAAGGCACACCTGTGAACTGAGGAAACAAGAATGTCTGCAAGATAGCTCTTCAGGAGCGCCACCGACTGTTCAATGAGTTGGAGACTATGAAGACGATTTTCTCTTTTTGCATATCCTAGCCTGCAGATTGAGAACTTATTTTGCCCATTGAATTACTATTGGAGCATGGACTGGAATCCGTGCTAACTTGCAATCTAAGTCTCCAGCAGAGTCCAAGAAAGACTCTCGCAGGTCTTTATGGTCGAACAAGAAAAGAAGCCGGTAAGTCTTTCTTTTACGCTTTTGTTTACTGGGGAATCGTTCTGAATGAGCTTAACTGAGAATCTTATTACTTATAGAGAAGCCATGTGGTTCTGGTTAAAGTCATACTTAGGGAAAGGCGTAGGATTAGTTGGCGTTAATAGAGGTATAAGGTATTGAGAAAACAGTAACTTTGAGTAAGGTGGCCGTCGAGTGTTGATTTTGTTGACTTTGGCGTTCTGTTTTTTTTTTTAAGTTAGATGACAATTTAGCTCCCCCGCGTCGAGGGCTTACTGCCTGCCGAAATCCCTAATAGCTTGTTTGGTAGCCAATAAAATAGCAAATGGAATTCTATCTATTTCCAATCATACATGATTACTTTTATTGGCGTAGCCAGAGATATAATTTAGTGGGGTCCAAACATAACCAAATATGAAGTTTGACTCGATAGTAAAATCATTGTCTCGGAAAGAGGGGGTCCGTGGTTCTAAATTTACTAACCCCACCTTAAAAATCCACCATTCTCAATGTATATTCATTTTCCAAGTGGGGTCCATGGACCCCACAACCCTTAACCTAGCTCCGCCAATGATTACTTTCGTAGTTTATAAGGCCAATCTAACCATGTTTATAAGGCCAATCATACATGATTTCTTATTTTTGTACAATTGTAATCACTATTATGATTAATTGTAATCGATTATTTTTTTACGATAATAAAGTTTTCCTTTTATTGCTTTTATCATTCTAAAAATCAAAGCTCATCCTCACATAGACATACGGCAAATTTAACCAATTCTATTGAATTGATTAACGGTGATTTTGATACCCACTCTTCAGTCGCATCAAACTTGTATGATAATGAATTGATTAATTTCAATGCAACATTGAACCAATATTGACCACTTTAGATTTTGCTATTGTCAATCTCAATAACTCGACGTGAATACTCACAAATTCACATTAATTTAAATATTTAGATAAAATGACGATTCATATTCGCAATTGCCAATTTCAAACAAATTAAAATTTCCTAAGTGATCATATCCGGACAAAATGGGGTGTCTACAGGCACGACACGAATCGAACCGTGCCTGGGCCTGGGCCTGGGCCGGGCCTAGTAAAGTTAATAAATGTGCTTGCATGGCACGACACGAAAACTGACGTGTCGTGCCAAGCACATCACGAAATAAATGGGCCCGAAACGTGCCCGTGCCGTGCCGGCCCAAGCACGGCCCAACGCCCATGTACAATTACACGTACTGTCAAACGAGATACCTCAGTGTATACCTCCTCGCCGTCGACCAATCATACATGAGATCGTTTTAGGACGTCAAACATGATGCCATCCAAGGAGGGTTAGTGCATAACAAGTCGACACCCTCAAACAAGCCTCGTTGCCTACCACTCAAGACCCATCAAGTAGGACATCGTGCAAAGGGAGTAAGCATGTGTATCTCTTTGTCAAGACCCTGGAAGCATCGGGATGTCAGGCATAACATCACCTCAAGGGATCAATGTGCATCTATCAACCTCGTTGTCGTTAACCCCTCAACCACCTAAGTGTCATGTATGAAATCATCCTAGAGGGGTAGCCACGATGCAACCTCATCCCAAGTAGTAATGCATGATATGTATCAAACATGGTACCTACCAAACAATCTCATCAATACTCTAGGCATGGTTGTCACGCCGGTGGCATGCCACCCGGTTCAACCTGGTTCAACCTGTGCCGGTCATAAAACCGGCATGACACCACCGGTATGATCGACTTACGCATTCTAAGTAAAATGACATTATTTTAATGAATTTAATAAATAAAAAAATTAATTTATTATTCATTTTATGAATGTAATAGTTAAAAGTTAATGATATTTGTTGGATTGTAACTAAATTGTCCACAAATATGTTTTATATATGATTAAATACATTGGATATTAATTGTTTTCACATTTTTTTAAACCGGCATGAACCGGCACAAGCTGGTTATACCACCGGTCGTACCATTCCACTTGCCAAACAGGCACAACGGTATAAACCGGTTTGACAACCTTGACTCTAGGTGTCATGCATGGACCCCACATAGTAGATCATCTGGTGTCAAGCATGACATCATACAAGGGGTTCAACATGGACATCACTAAGACATTGAGCATCAAGGTACTTAAGACCAATGTGGTAACTACTATCATGAGATGATGGCCATAGTTGATCATGTCGACCCCCAAGCATGCCACACCACTTGTTTAAGTATGGTTGACTAGCTAAGTGTCAAGCATGACAAATTACCATCTACGTAGTGAGGATCCTAAAGCATGATATCGTCGTAGGGGTAAGGGGTCCATCTTGGACACTAGGTATCAAGCATGATACCTGGATAGATGCTCGACATGTTATCTCTCAAGCATAGTTGTACACAATACCTCATCCTATCATGCATGAAGATACCAAGTCAAGTGCTAACTTTGGTGTTTTTTTTAGTTAGGCGCCAATTTAGCTCCCCCACGTTGAGTGCTCACTATATATCGAAATCCCTAATCGCTTGTTTGATTGCAAATATAATAAGCAAATATAATGCATTGTATGGTTTATAAGTTGTCACCCTAAAATCTTGGAGAAGGAGAGTTATGGTACGTTTTAGATGAAATAATAATGCTTAATAACTGTTTTATTTTTTATATGGGCCTAACACTTCAATCGGTTCGAACTGGATTATACGACAAAAAATAAAAAATGACCTATCAATTCAAAGTAAAACTCGCATTATACAAGACAATATGACTGATGTCCTTGGCCATTCCTTCATGATCTATCTCCCAATCTAGATAGCCTAGCCTAGCCACCCAAAGGGGTGGATAATAATAATCTTCATTTAAAATGCTAATTTTAGAATATTTTTTGTTATGAATTTTTTAGACAATATTGGTTGATTTTCAAGCACCAACCCATTTTATATTGTCAAATTAAATAACAAAAGAAAAAAGAGGAAACTAGAGGTAAAAATCTAGATGCTTAATATAGGCTAGGAGAAAAGAAAACAAAGATAAACCTTGGAATTAAGACCTCTCAACCCCTTCAAAAACCACCATGTCTTAACCCTTTCACCCTAAACGAAATCAAAACAACACAAAACAAGAAAGAAACAATCAAACAAACCCAAAACAAATCCTTTGTCAGAGGAAATTAGTAGAGAAGAAGGTTAGGAGTAAAGGGCAAGCCCTAACTCCAATTAGGGAAATTCCTACCCAAAACAAGAGCTCAATTTCCGAACTTCTATCAAGGTTTGTCATTTTCTGCCTTATCTTTCATTTTTAAGCTTAAAGTTAAAAACTGGAATTTTGGTCATTTTCTTCTTATCTTTCATTTTAAGCTTAAAGTTAAAAACTGGGTTTTGGTCATTTTCTCTTTAATCTTCCATTTTCAAGCTTAAAGTTAATAACTGAGTTTTGGGGAGTCCTCAACATCTTAACAACATTTAATTTGATTGAAATGTTGTGCATTAGAAATCAATTAATTTACTATCAAATTGAAATTTATAGTTTGACAAACAAGAAAACAATCCATCGAAATGAACACGGCGAAAATGTCTGACAAATGGTTGTTAATTCTTTATTCTGTAAATAAAACAGCTCTAATGTTTATTTTTTTGATTTCCTCTGCAGTAATTTTCAGGGAGTAAAATAATGTCTCCAACAAAATCCAGGAATAAATCCAAAAAACCCGCCGGGAATTCTGCCAGACCACCGCAAAACAATGTGGCAACCAACCCGAAGAAAAGCGGCTGCTCCGACCCGACTCCCGGATTGGATATTCTCTCATCGTCGCCGGATTCTTCCTCCTCGCCCGACCATGACAATTTGGGCAGCCCAATCGGGGCACTGCTGCTGGGCTCCGAACCCGATTCGGTTTCCAACAACGGCAGCTGCTACTCCGGCGAGGAAGACCCAAAAGAAGTCACCAAAACGACCGCGACCCGGCTGCCGGACAACCTCCACGTCACAGTCTCCGGTCTGGACAGCGACCGGCGGGAAAAAATCCGGTTGAAGAACGAGAAGAAGCACGCCAGACAGAGGGAGCGGCGAGCACAAGAGCTCCACGAACGCTGCTGTGGGTTCCTGATGTCGAGGAAGCTCGAATCCCTCTCGCAGCAGATCGTGGCGATGGGATTCTCCAAAGATCGTGCCACAATGGCGCTCATGATGAACGACGGGAAGGTAGAGGAGTCCGTGAATTGGCTTTTCGAAGGCAACGGCGATGATAACGGCGATCAAGGTGATAAGGACGACGGAGAAAGTAGTATCCCCGAAAAGAAGAATTTAGGGTTGAAGATTGATATCAGCGACGAGCTTGCTGAGATTGCAGCTATGGAGGTTCGATTCAAATGTTCTAAACAAGAAATTGAAAGGGCAGTTGTGAATTGTGAAGGGGATCTCGCGAAAGCAACAGAGGTTCTGGCTTCCCAGAAGCCAGAGCAGGCGACTCCTCCTCCGCCGCCGCCGCTGCCACCACAAGCGAACTTCGAGCTCGGCGTCGATGTCGCCGCGGTTCCCCGGCAGAGGATGATCCATTATTCGGACCCTGTCAACAGAAACTTTCAGAATCAGAGGTGGGGGAATCATGGCTATGGATACAACAACCCATCACTATTTCAATCACCAAAATTTCAGCAACAGCATTCACAGTTCATGAATTCCAATCAATACCCAGTTCAGAGCTCAAACTCTTATTCTTCAACAGCAAGATGGTATTCCAGTAATGTTCCTTTCCAAAGCCATAATCACCATCCCCTCCACCACCGTCCATCGTCGTATAAAGAAACACCATTTCTGTTCAGCGGCCCAAACCCAATGGAAGCTTCGGCAGGACCTAGAATGGGTGGTGGTAGTAGTAGATCATCAGAGTATCAGAGTTTTCCATCTTCCAGTAATTTGCCATCATTAGCAGCTCCATCTTCGCTTGGGCTGTTTGATAGCTGGGGATCACCAACTTCACAGGTTGATTGGAACAGTGGAGGTATGATGTCTAATTTCGATTATACGAGCATAGATTGGAGTCTGGATTCAAGCTTGCTGCCTTCCAAGTCAAGGAGAATGTGGCTGGGGCTCTCCTCGTTGTTGATTAGCAATGGTTCTTCGGCCGGCGGGAATGGAGGTATGGAAGCAACATCTTCTGCGGCAGGATTGCGTGATTGGACCTCTCCTTTTGCACAGAAGGATATGTTCAGCTTGTCTAGACAATTTGTTACCTCTCCTTCTCTTTAAGAGCATGAAAGTCACAGAGAGAGGGATGGTTGCAACCTGTATATTTTGTTGATGTTGGGTGCATAAATGTTCATCTCCATGTCTATATTTTGTTGAGAAATCCAATCAAAATGCATCCTTTCTTTCTAATTGAATCTATTCAATGCAAATCGAAAAACAGTATTGAATGTTATCATCAAAACCAGATACAATTATATTCTATCATGTTCGATTCAATCTAAAAGTCAATTCAATTGAATAGTGAACAGCATCTTTGCAGTTAATCATACATTGAAAAACAAAAACTCACCAACACAAACACCATAACTTGGTTCATGATTGAAGACAACCGATTCAGTCAAATGTCGATAATCTATTACTGTGCTTTTTTTACAATCAAAGAATAGAAAAAGGGGTTAATTATCATATAGCCGGTAGTAGAATTTGGTTACTGTTTTTGTTTCATGCTCATCACTAATCAACTAGCTTGACTCCCCAGTTCAAGTCCTTACAGTGTCTCAAGTAAGGAACAAGAGCACCAGCATCAACCTTCTCATCTGTGTCACAGTCACAAGTTGGAGGGAAATGGAAACAAGGCTCCATCGACAGATCCTCTACACAGGCGGGGTTCGGTACATTCTGGTCATTCACTTTGTGCAGAATCCATGGCTTCAAACCTCCAAGCCCCTGAGCTACATATCCAAACGTCGACCAAGCACTAGTCACCAGAACATCACAAGTACTTAGTAGACTAATCTCAGCCCACGCCTTCATGTTGTGCATATTGTCACCAAATTTCTGATACTCCTCGTGGCTCGGCTGATAAACTCCAATCACGTCACCTTCCACAGTAGGCTTGGTCCAGTACATGTTCTTGATGTGCTCATAGTACTCGGAGTACAAAGAAACTGCAAGAATAGCCTTCGAAGATGTCCGATTCCCCGATTCAGAAGTAGCTACAGGTTTGGCATCATCAAGTTTAGGCAAGATGTTGTTCTCCTTTGAACTGCATTCCAGTATCTGATCCATTACAGTCTGAAATGGTACAGTTTTGGGATTGAACACTCTAATCTGCAAACCAATTCTCTGATCTGCCTTCTCCAGGTACGCCCGGTAGAACCTCTTGATTAGCCCCCACGCCTGATTTGAAGGATGGAACAGGTATCGACCCAAGTGATGAAACACGGTGTCCTTTTCAGGAAACATTTTTGTCACCTCTTTCTCGAAGCGTTTCATCACGAAGAAAGCTGGCGCGTAGTATTGATCCGATAGCATAATCAGCCATGGAATCTTCTCGATAGAAGCTTGACCTCGGTCGCAGTAGAACACGTTATCTCCATCGTAGCGACCATGATTCACATTCACAAACAGATACGAAGAAGCTTGAGCCCTCGTTGACTCGTTTCTTGCTGCAGAAGAATTACCCTTCTCCATCAAGCTTCCAATGCTGTGTGAGTGCCTGTCCTTCTCATCCCAAAACTCCTTCTGCAGAGGGAACTTGTCCACGGGCAGGACCCACGACGAGTTTGGGAATGGCTCGCAGAACAGATCTTCCATATCGGGTCGTTGATGGAGCAGCAGGACTCTATCCGTGAGAAGAGCGAACAGAAATGTGGAAGCAATGCTTATCATTCTGTTTCCTAACCCATTTGCAGGTAACCAGATGACATACTTGCAGTATTCTTCAGAAGAGTGATCACGGTCAACTCTGTCCAACTTCGTAAGCTTCCTAATTTCCCTCTTGTACGATTTAGTTCCAGGTCCACACCGCCTGTGAAGATCTTCGTACTTTCTCAGCTTGGAAATGAGATATGGAGATGGCTTGTGAGGTGAATGCTTGCGGTAGGATTGGTGCCTGCTTAAGCAAGACGGTTCGTCAGCTCCAGGAGACGTTAATAGTCCATCCAGCAACGCTTCGTCGTTTCGATTTGACGAATCTTGTTGTGTCCTGAATCCTGGAGATGGGGTTGGAGCAACTGAAGGTGGGGAAGCCAGATGTTCTCTCAGTTCTGTGAACCAGGAAAAAAATAAACAGGGTGCTATTTAGAAACGAAACCTTTCTGCAATTGATGAGAAGGATATGAATGGTGTTTACTTACCTCCAAATGTTGCCGGAGCTTGCTGCCGGGATTTACCCTTTAGGATTTGGGTAATGCTGAACCCTCCGGCGCCGGTGAAGGTTGAGCTCCGAGATATTGTCACGAGTAGGATTGATGCAGGGAGAATTATCAAGGACAGAATCAGAACCGTGGCGAATCTCTTGTTGTCCCATCCCAACCTCTGCTTCGCAGAGTGGAACAGTTCCATGACTTCCTTTGTCTGAAGTTGGATTGCTTGCAAGCACTCTGATGAATCCACCCACTACCTAAAAGATCTTTGCAGTTCAGCTACTAACAATCAAACAGAAACCCAACAACCAAACTTATCAAAAATTATATTTTCAGACTTATAATCATTCAACAACAAACTGGTTACTGGTTAGGTTCTAATCAAGTAGATTTGAGTAGTTAATATGACGATTGTTGATCCCGAATCCGCGAAAAAAAGATAACACTGTATTGTTCCGATTTTATCGAATGTACCCGAACAACATCATTTCAGCATAAACGAAACAGAGCAAAAGAAACTGCTGTAAGAAATTTCACTAGATAAACAGAGGACTGAAATTCTTCAGGTTTCGGACAGGAAACGGGTCTGAAAACACACAGGAGAGTCTGAGAAGAGAGGAGTGACATACCAGAGAATGGACAGGCCAGAGGAACTCAATTTCTCTGTGGTCTGAATCCCAGGAGGAAGAAAACTTCTGTTTGGCTCTCTTGTTCTGAAAATTTTCCCGGAAAATCCCATTCCATCCCCATCAGCTGCTACCGTTCCCACACAAAGAAAAAACCCTTTTTTCCCAAACAATTTATGAGCATGCAATTATAGTATTGCTGCATCAGGAAAATTTGACATCTTTTCCCATAATTCTGATGTTGTTGCTATAAAAGCCAGAAGGGCCTTGGAATTTTACTATTCCCTATATGGTGGTATGAATTTGGAGTCATTTAAGAATCCGGGAAACTGTCAACAGGCAGAGTATATACAGAGTAATTTCGTATTAATTGATTGTGGGGAGACTCTTATCTTTGTATAGCCACGGTAACTTTACAGTTACAATACCATGAACAGTGGTGAAAAGTTAATTGACTGTAATCTAGGATTAAATAATTAGATGACGATTAAAATCCTTGATTCCTGCCTCCCAGAACGGTGTTTTTTCAACTTCTGGGGGATGTGTTGTTTAATTAGTGCCGTGAACCTGCACTGGCAATTATTTCAGACGCGGGGAATGATTCTCTAGAGAAATGGGTGGTCAATTATTTCAAAAAGTAGTCAATTGGGATTTATAATTTTTATATATTGGTGGTCAATTGATGTCACTTAGTTGCCAATCACGTGGCAAATTTCACGTCAACAAAACACAAAAGACATTCATGATTTATTTAACATTTCGAGGGGTTTAGTAGGCTATATGAGGATGAATTATAGAGTATATAAAGAGCAAATATAGCTCTTTTTAGTAGACTACATAAATGTGCATCATAAATTTTGGACATATTTTTTGCAGGTTAATTGCATGGTTTGTGTTGGGGGGCATGTAATGAATGGCCCAAGCATGGATCCAGGAAGTAAGCTTGGGCCCGGAATGTGGGCCTGGGCCGAGAAAAAGGCTAAAGGCCATGGCCCAACTGGCAGAACCGGGCCCGAAACAGGGCGCATGACGACAAAAGGGAAGTAACGGCCAGGGATGTACGGAGGGGACATGAAGTGGGGCCATGCGCCCTCAGAGCCACGGGAGGTGTCCGAATGGCAGGGCGCCCGAGGAAAGGAGGGAACAGTGCATTTAATGTGGGGATGACGTAGGGCGGATTTGGGGGGCACTGGTCGGCCCTACTCCGAGTATAAATAGTAAAGTGGGTGGAGCTCATTTACTCAGGTTCTAACTTCTCTCTAAACTCATACCTCACTTCTCTCTCTAGAAGGTTTGTTCTGACTTGGGCGTCGGAGTGCTAACGAACCCCAGTTTAGGGGTTCGCTGGGCGCCTTGGTGTGCAGGTTACGGACGTTCAGGGAAGACGTAGAAGGGTCTAAAGGAGGCGCGGGAACCATCCGAGGCCCGGAGGGTACGTGGCACAAACAGTTTGTCATTGAGATTACAAATAACGTTCATATTTGGTCACCGGAAATATTTAAATCCAATCTTGGTCACTCAAATTAGTTAAATAGTTCAAGTTTAGTCACTCTCCGTCCAACTCCGTTAACTTTTGCTTATGTGGCAGTCAACTTTTATAGTTGACCGTTAAATGTGTGACATGGCAAGTAAAAAATAATAAAATAAATAAAGTTTAATTTTTCAGAATTTTTATCTCATTTCCAACTATTTAAAGCGCGGTGCCACAATGATGTTCGAGCGCGGCGACGACGCCAAGCGGCTGCCGGACAGGTGCAGAGGGCTTTTGCCGAGCTTCGGTGCGAAAATCATCGACGCGGAAACAGGCTAGGCTCTGCCTCCGTACGGAAGATGGGAACTGTGGGTAAAGAGTCCGGCGGTGATGAAAGGGTACCTGAAGAACGAGGAGGCTACATCGGCGACGATTGATTCCAATGGGTGGCTCCGAACATGGGATTTCTGTTACTTCGACGGTGATGGGGTTCTCTTCGTTATTGACAGAATCTGCCTCAAAGCCTAAGCTCAAGATCCAAATCCTTGATCCCCCATCCTAGCGAACGACGTCCCCATGTTCCCTGGTGGTGGTGGTGGAAGACGAGGGTGGCAGCGTGTAGCTTTGGTTTTGCTGGGTAGAATATCTCCGGCTGCGGCAAGGAGAAGAGAGAATGAGAGGCGGCGGTGGGAAAATTTTGAGTACGGCTAGGGTTTGTTATAAAAATTAATTTTTTTATTTTTAAATAGTTGTAAATGAGTTGGAAATTGTAAAACAAAAAAATTAATTTAATTTATTATTTTTTAATTACCACGTCAGTCAGTTAATAGTCAACTTTGAAAGTTGACTGCCACATCAGCCAAAATTAACGGAGTTGGACGGAGAGTGACCAAATTTGAAACGTTTCACTAATCTTAGTGACCATGAATGGAATTAAATATTTTTAGTAACCAAATTTGAACGTTTTTAGTAATACCAGTGACCAACCTTGCAATTAACCCTATTTTTTGCTAATCTTTTTTATTATTTTGGTAAATTTTCCTTTCATTCCCCCGCTCTACACTCATTTCTTCACCATACTAGCATTGGGCCCGGCCGTTGGCTGGTGTTGTGTAAAACTTTAGAGAATAGAGGAAGGATTAAGTAGCGTGCCAGACCCATTGGCTGAATTGTTAATAATTTTTTAACATAATTTATTTATGAATTGCACCCTAATTTTATTTAGTTATCCAAAATGACGTAAAAACTTATATGTGGTGAGTTGGGTGAACGACACTAAAAGAATTAAACTTAGAATGCAAAACATAAGTTTTGGTAATTATTGTTGTTCTTTAGACATACATTTTCTTCTCAAGGTTTGAAGCTCTATATATAGTCTGTTTTACTCTACTACAAGTCTGCAACAGTGTCATTGTTAAACAATTATTTCAGTTTGAGAAAAGATGAATCGAGGAAACATTGACATTTATGGATTGAAGCACAATTACAACGGCAAATTAACAATTTTGGGAGGTAAGAAATTAATCAGCTATTCTTATATGAATAAGTTTGATCCTTTGAAAACCACTAAGAGCAACCGTCCATGAACAATTATCTATCTGTCATATTGAAAATCCACATATGCATAGCCAACAAATCCTTCAAATAATATTTTAAAGAAATGTTCTCTCTTAAACCAACCTAAAAATATGAAGAAGTTTGATCATTGGATAACCACCAAGAGCACAACAGCCCATTAGAAGTTATGTTTCATATTGAAAATCTACATATATCTTACCATCAAATCATTCAAAGAATGTTCTTTTTTAGAAATGCCATCTCTCTACTCACTCCGTCTCTCCCTCTTTCTCACTTCCATCTTCCAAAACCAAATTCATGGAGTTGTGGATGAGACTAATAGCATGAATCTGCCTCGTCAATTTTCCTTTTACGTAATTTATTTTTTTTACCGTTGGAAATTCATTCATTAAATGAATGAAAGGTGAACAAATATTGGGCCAAGACCCTGATGAAGGAACAAAACACTTGAAAAGAGCACATGCCTAAACCCATAACAGTGAAGAGCAAAGCCCACAAAACAGATAGGCTTCAGTGAAGAAGCCCTAGCAACCTAATCGATCCTCCGCACAAGCACAAGACAGCAACAACCGCAAGGAGGAGACCCACAAAAACGCCTGCGACGAAACCAATTCCAGGTTATTCAAAAAAAAAAAAAAAAGAGTAAACCAATTCCATATGAAGAGCAGCAGTCGAAAGGTCAATTTCCTTTTCCTTGTACGAATTTGCAGCCGCAATTTGATTGGAAATAAATAAAATAAGGGTTTAGGAGAAGACGAGTATTAGTCAATTCAACATTTTCGACGACCGGCACACCATCGGAATCCATGAGTCCCGATGAGACAGCAGCAGAGCGGGATGGAGCAGTGAGAAAGCCACAGTGGGAGAGAGGGAGAGCGTCGTAAAAGTTATTTCACCACAGAGCAAACGACAACAAACACGGCGACGACCAGAGAAGTGCAGGGAGGGCGATAATGGGCGATTTGGATTTCGGATTAAGTGTAGAGAAAATTAGATCGGAGCTGTGGTGAGCAGGGAGGGCGCCGAGAGAGATTTCAATTTGGGATTATGCATGATAATAAGGATGGTGGAAGTCTCGATTTCAGATTGTGGTTGGGAAGAGAGGCGAGAGAAGTTCGCTGTCCAGAAGGAAATAAAGCAAGAAAGAGAGAGTTTGTGAATTGACGATAACAACCTTCCGAACCGTGCAGACATTTCAGAATAGACTGACGTGGCAAAGGCTGTATGTTTACGTTGCATTATAGTAATTTTTAGATGATAATTTGTCAGGTAGCTCGCCACGTTCTTTTTGCACCCTTTCCCCTCGTACAATTTTATGCATTCCAGTATTTTCTCCCATTTGTTTTTTCAGTCCATTATTGCTACACCCATTTCTTCCTCTCCGATGGTTTGCCTAGACAATTGACCAAGTTATTTTCCCTTCTTCATTTCGTCATTTCCCCCATCCTTTTCATTCCAGAATTTCTAGACAAGTTTCTTCCCCCACCGATGATTTGTATGGGGATTAGACAATGGTTGTTCTATCACTCCACCATTTTTTATTATCATTTCTTTGTGTCTACATTTGTTTCTTCCTCTTCTAACGATGACCAAGCTACGTCAAAGATGAGTATCTGGGAAGTTGGAGATTAGATCAACCCGGGGAGGGGGAGAATCGAAGCGTTGATCAAAGATGAATCCTTGGAGGCTGGCTGAGTTTCCTCACGTGATGTTTCTTCTTCTTTTTTTTTTGTTCAAAATTTTCCTAGCTCATGTGATGTTCCTTCTCCTAGCTCACAGGCTAGCTCCAATCGCTTTCACCTTCTTTTATCTCCTCTCTACCAATATGTCCTTTGGAAATTGAAGACTAAGCATATGAAATTTCTTTTTGTCCTATGCTTTATAGTTTATCCATTAGGCCATTACTTCATTGGCCATAACATGAAGAGGTATACTAAAGAATAATATATGTTTCAAAATCACTTTGGACTTGAGATATGCTACAAGAACAATATATATTTTGAATGACTCAACTCGACAAGAAAGTCGTTCTCCAAGTACTTTGTGTCAAGTATTCTACCTTTTTTGGTAAAAAATTCATCGTACAAGAGAATAAATAGTTCACCTGACAAGTTATGTTATGAAATACCATAGCTTAGAGGTTCATACAACAACATCAACGTAGAAAATGTGTAGCACAAACATAATCTTGTATAAATGAGATAAATAAATACGATTAATTATAGATCGATCGTCTGGACTTGTGTGTTGGGCTTTACCCGTTGCTTAAGCTCAAGAGTTTAACGAGATGAGCTCTTGCCCTTATCAGATCATCTTCAACCTTGGACAAACAAGGTAGTGTACCTGTTGAAAAGTAAACACACAATAGAGGAGAGTAAGGAGAGACACACATGCACAAGAAGTTTTGTTAACTGAGTTTGACCTATTGTTTTACGTCTTGGATCAAAGGTGGCTCACCCTTTGAGACCAAGTGTCTAGTTTTTTATTATCTTATTCTGATCTAATTTCAAGTTGAGTCTCTTAGGTGGAACTCGAGCCATTGACAAGAATAGAGTAATATACCCCTTTTTTTATTCCTCACAAGCATTCACGCTAAAGAGAGAAACTACACAACTTCACAACCAATCAAACAATACAGAAAATGAACTCATATCACTTCTCACACCTATTGCTAATCACATAGTGTTTGATCTTGCTTTATGTAGGATTGCTCAGTCACATTCCATAAGCCTTGTCTTGTTGCTTCCTTCTATTTATACTTCCTCAGATGCAACAATCTTCTCTTGATCTTCTTTTGATTTGAGAGATTCATCCATACAATCATATATTCACAAATTTGACAAGTAATAATATAGTTTTACCTTTGCAAAAAGGGAAAGCTTTTCCCAACACTCAATGGGTTATACTTGTATGCCTGCAATAAGTGTTTTGCACCCGCATGCCTCGCTTCTCGACTCTATTAGGAGGAAGATTGCTCAAGATTGGCTGGTTAGAGTGGTCCATACTTACCAGGAAGGGAATAGAGTCGCAGACTAGTTCTCGAAACACAGTGTCGTCTATCCCTACAGTATGCATGAACTTTCTAAACCGCCAAGGTGGGTCTGTCAGATTCTTAGGGAAGATGTAATGGTTATTTCCTTTGAATGCCAAGTGATGATGCCCCATAGTCTGTAATCTCCCCCGACCCCTCCCCTCTTTTTTCTTGGTTGCGGCCTCCTTGAACGCATATAAAAAGTTTTTTTCACTTTGCCTTCAAGCTAATCTAATCTCTTGAAAAGTAACCATTTCAGAGTTCTCATTGGATATGGAGCCTAATATGTCATCGGAAAGCTGACTTTGCGAGGTAATGGATAAAGTTGACAATGAAACGATTGAATAGATGGGGTTGATCCTATGGTCGATCTGGAATGAAAGGAACAATCAGATGTTTAACAAGCAAAAGGCGGAAGAGTGGGAGATTATGGGGAAGGCCTTGGAATAATGGGCAGAATACAAATCACACCACACAAAAGAGCAAGAAGTGAAATCGAGTGGGAATTGTACCTGAGTGAAGCCGCCAGAGGGATGGGTCAAGGTGAATGTAGACGCAACGGTGATGGTGGGGGAAGGAACGGGGTTGGGGCTTGTGGTTCGCGATGAGACCGGGAAATTTCTGTTGGCGGCGGTAAGACGGGAGCGCAACCAATGGCAACCGGAGCTTGCTGAACTTCGGGGGCTTGAATTTGGGCTGCAGATGGTGGAAATGCACTGCTTCTCGCTAGCGATTGTGGAGAGCGACTGTCAAACAACCATCCAGAAACTGAAGGGGGAGGAAGACTCGAGGTTGGAGGTGGGTTTGGTCGCTAGAGAGCTAAAGCACCGGGCCAATGAAATGGGCCAGGTCTGTTGGAGTTTCACAAAGCGATCGGATAATGAACCGGACCATGTAATGGCTCATTCCAATTGTAACTGGGATACATCTGAAACTTGGGCTCTTAGGCCCCCTGTGTTTCTCCTTTCTCCTCTAGAGAAGGATGGTTTGATCTTTGAATAAAAAGAAGGTTTATGGTAAATAAAAAATGGTGCCTGATGGGAAAAAAAATAAATTTGAGATAATGAACTATTTAAATATAAAAACTTGAATAATTATGCCACACTGCAATTATAAGCATTACCGTTCGAACATTTAGGTGATTTTTTCTTCTACATATAAACCATTTATTGTAACTTATTTAATTACCGGCAATGCATCATATATATTACATGCAAATCTTTAAGAGATTCTTAAAGTCAACAAAGTGATATTTGTTTTTTTTTTTAATGAAATTTATGAAATCCAAATAATAAAGTGCTGATTTTGACAATCGAAACTAAACTAAAATAAAGAATCGATTCAATATAATTCAATCCAATACAACTCAACTAGATGGCCAACGCATCCGCCGTATAACATGGATCAATTATCTAGTATAAAATAGAACAAGAACATACTCAACCTAAATACAAAATTAAAAGGTGCTAATTCTGTAGGAGATATCGATAGAACATTAAGCGCTAGTACTATATGAAGTATGAACAATCCGATTTGCTGGCCGCAGGAGGACGGGCAGTCTGAAATGTGGTTAAGTTGTTATAAAGTTGTTGTTAATGCCAGGTCTGTCGGTACCATTATGGATATGGAATGACATTAAAAAAAAAAATCTTATGTCAAATTTGGTGAGGAGACAGACATCAATGGCAATGCCGTCTAATGAACTAACATGGAGAGACACAACTGACCATGATGAGCATTTCACATGCTGAAATTCATCGACCTACTATTTCTGTAAATGTCGCATCGGCTATAGAACAAAATTCAGGTTGCAGGACTGCAGGCTCCGCTGCAGGATTCACTCCCTGCTGTTGCTGCTGCAGCTGTTGTTGTAGTCGTCTGAATGAAAAGGTTGGTCTCTTTGGAAAGATCAACCCAACAGCCGTTTCATTCCTGAGCATTGAAGCAACTTCTAGCATGGAAGGTCGATCGACAGGGTCGTCCTGAACACATAGTAATGCAATTCTCAAGCAAGCGAGTAGCTTGCAAGAAGACGATGAATCGTCCAGACACGCGTCCATTATCTCCATCCCTTGCCCGTCCTGCCACAACTCAAATGCCTGAAACAATCAACAATGTCGATGGTTAGATCTTTCCTAGTTTAGAGAGGATGAATATGAGCATCTAATTAAAGATACCATAACTTACATATTCCTGAAGGCTGAAATCTCCACTGGGGCCATAAATCATCCCATTCTTCTTGCCGCTGATAATCTGTAGCAGCAGAATCCCGAAGCTATAAACATCTGATTTGACGGAGTAAGCTCCTTGCTTGAGATATTCCGGCGACGTGTAGCCACTAAACAAGAAGAAGAAGAAGAAGAAGAAGAAGAAGAACCATCAGAATGCCATTACAATAGGTTTTTCCTGTACGGAAAATAGCTAGCTAGGGGATTTTAATTACATTGTTCCAACGATCCTGACGGTGTTTGCTTCTGCTCCACTCTTGGAGAAGACCTTGGCAATCCCGAAATCCGATATCTTGGGGAGGAAGTCACTGTCGAGCAAGATGTTGCTGGCTTTCAAGTCGCGGTGGATGATGGTGAGCCTGGAGTATTCCTGGAGATACACAAGCCCTTGGGTTATCCCTTGTATGATTTCCACCCTCTTGCTCCAATCAAGAACATTCTTCCTTGCAGGATCTGCATCAACATTAGTTAGTTCGATTACACTATAATTTGAAGCAGAAACTGACGAGACAAGCGAAAGGTCGGGCGATAGTACCGTAGAGGTACTTGTCGAGGCTGTTGTTGGGCATGTACTCGTAGATCAGCAACTGCTCATCACTTTCAATGCAGAATCCAAGAACCCTGACGAGATTCACATGCTGCAGTCTGCCGTTTAGCTGCACCTCGTTCTTGAATTCTTGGAGCCCCTGCGACGATGTTTGCGATAGCTTCTTCACCGCTATTTCTTGTCCGTCAAGTAAAACCCCCTGCAGCGAATTGAGAGTTCAGTTTTCTGCCACCTCAGGGTAATTTAATGTGTTCTTACGCTTCCTTCAGAATACATACCTTGTAAACAGGACCATAGCCACCTTGTCCGAGCTTGTTCTGAATGGAGAATCCCATTGTGGCTTTCTTAATTTCTTCCAAACTAAACACTTTGAGATTGTTGTCACCGAACTGGCCCGATCCTTCTATGTCCTCTGCTCTCAGATTGGATGCTCTGCTTCTATCCTTCATTGATCCTACCAATACCAGCAAACCTGCAAACAAAGAGATGGGTTTATCAATTCCAACTTACTCTTTAACAAAATCCATCAACGGGGACGATTAGATGTTTGTCGTTGATTATCCTTACCCTCAGGTCTTTTGAGCCCACTGATTCTGATCCAATAGAATCCACCAAGGGCCAGAAATATTACGAGAAAAACAGCTGTAGATATTGCCCCTGCTAACACTCTTTGCCGCCTCTTCATCCTCCCCTGTTTCTCTCCTTGTTCTTTAGCTGAAGGCAACAAAAGAGTCTTGAGTAAGGTTGAATGGAATAACACTTACTTCAAACAGGTTGAATGGAAGTACCTGCAACTTGAGCTAGCTCTCCGTAATCATCGAAAGGGATCTGCCACACATAGTAGCCACCAAGATTCATCTCCGTGGTGTACGAAACCTTGGCTCGAATCGCTTCAGGGCCGTCGAAGATGACCGAAACAGAGCCATTCAATGTGCAGTGATTCACGGCGTAGGTAGAATTGTAGACTACCTCCGCGCCCTTTGTGATGTCCTTGATCTCATGGTAAGTCAGGAGCTCGCCATCTCCGGTCACCGGAGCACCGATATAACCCTTCCGGGGATTCGCCAACTTCCAGGTGAATCCATAGAACGGCAGGCTAAGTACCAGCTTCTCCCGCGGAACTTTCCCCACAGTAACCCACGCCTCCACGCCCGATCCGGTGTTGGACAAGAACTCCGGGTCGTTCAATGGAGCGTCGGGCTCCATGAATTTCGACGGCTCCAGATTCTGCACCATGATATGGACCCAATCCAAGTTGTTCCTGATTGAACCCACCGGGTAATTCCTCACGTTCGGATCCGGCGCGTACCCGAACGCCGCCGTCAAGAGTAGCTTCTTTTCTCCGACCGTCTTCACTTCGGCGTCGACCTGGGCTCGCCATTCTTTGAACAGATTGCTGATGCCGGCGAAATCGTCGGCGGATTGGCCGGACCAGGAGAAATCCATCCCCTGAAACCCATGCCTTCTAGCTGTTTGTATTGTGGACTGAATGAAAGCACCGCGGCGGGTGGGATTGGTGACCATGGATGAGAAATCGGTGTCGTTGGCATCCCCGCCGCCGATCGAGTAAAGGGTCGTGACGGATGGGTTCTGCTGCCGGACGATGGCCGTGAAATTGGCGAAGTATTGCTCGTCAGAAGGGTCGATTGAAATGCGGTGGGTGGACGAATTGATGGTGGCGTAACCACAAATGAGGTGAGTGTAGAACGTGGAGTTGAGAGATTCAGGGGATTCGAAGTTGGAGACGATCCAGTAGCCTCCTCGGATCAACTCTCGAGCATTTGCAATTGCAGGCAGTGGAATGAGAGAAAGGGACAGGGCAATCAGGGTAACAAACAGAATTGAAGGACCTGCCGCCATGGGTTGTTGGAAGCTCAATGCTAGCTGAAGTTGATGACTTGGAGGATGGATGGATAATTGGGTTCCCAGAATTCAATTAAGTGGTATTAATATCCCAAAGGTTAGTGCTTCCCTACTTTATCAACTAATTATTAAAGTGATCAAGCCCTTTAATGTGGAAAATGTGTGAGAGGATATAATATGATTTTGATTAAGGTTTCATGTTGGTTTGTAAGACATTGCAGCTCTAATCAGAGACCGAAAAGGACAAAAAGAAAGACTAATCAGACATGAGTCAACGCGGTGCAGAGGAGATGGAATGAAGGGATGAACCTCATTAACCGTCCTAATTAAGGATTATTATTGTTAATTTTGTCAAAAGCAGGGTACGATTAGTGGCTCAAAAGTAAGAGATTGCTCAGAAGCATCGCTCCGTTTACTTTTATTTGACCTTTCAGTTAGTTAGGTATGGCGCAGCTAATTAGGAACATGTGTTAGAGAAATTCAGCTGCTAATTATTTACACTTAATTCCTTTTGTTTGTCACACATACTCCAAAGCCAGCAGCATGGCAATTTTACCCGTATGAGAATTTTACTATCCAACCTAATTGGGTTGGGTATGAGATTCAAACAAATGGTAAATGAGTAAAGTTTGATGGGATCGGTTAGCTTGACTACCCCTAAAGGGGTAGTGATTTTTGACACCCCCTTTATGATTGACCAATTTTATTTCCAATCATTGGCAAGTATTAATTAAACTGGTTTTTTATTTTTTTTTTAATCTTGTAATTTGGGGTCTCTCACCACATTGGAAAAGAGAAAGAATCTGGGGAAAAACGAAATCACACCCATTAATTACATAATTAATTTCTCTCACTGGTACATTAATTACACGTACCACTCCACTGGTACACGTACCACTCCACTAGTGCGAGCAATCCACAAGGTAGGTTAGAGTGAGAACAATACCAGTGCAATGATATTTTTCATAACAATGATAAACAATAACGGAGCAACAATGCAGTACCACTTCAATGATACAAATACCACTCCACTGGTACACGTACCACTCCACTGGTACACGTACCACTCCACTGGTGCGAGCAATCCACAAGGTAGGTCAGAGGCGATCCCAGGATGGCGGCAGCTGGAGATAGGAGGATGGTGGTGGGGGAAGGCGCTGGAGGGTTTTGGTCGTTTCAGAGTAGAGGAGGGTTCTAGTTAAAATGAAATCAAAATGGAAAGAGGGCCCAAATGGAGAGAGAAGGAGACGAAAGGAAGAAAAAAAAGGCAATTAATTGCACATTTGGGGGGGAGCTTTTTTCTGATTCCCCATATTCTTTCCCTTTCCAATGTGGGTGAGAGACCCCAAATTACAAGATTAAAAAAAATAAAAAACCAGTTTAATTAATACTTGCCAATGATTGAAAATAAAATTGGCCAATCATAAAGGGGTGTTAAAAATCACTACCCTTTAGGGGTTAGCATAGTATCCCACCCCAAGTTTGATGGAAAAAAATTTAGTATATATAATGGGAACATGGGTTTTATCAATGTTAATTATTTGTCCTAATATCAAAACTCAAAACACTGTCGTCCATCCCAGCAAGGCAGCAATCCCCAATTTCAATTTCGTTTTCCTCCACCCAGCAGCAGCAAAGGCGCTGCGAGTTGCACTCGCCGACCTCCAAGCTTTCCATCCTCCAACGGCTGCGAGTCCAGCCTCCAAGCTCTCCATCTTCGGCTCCAACCTCGCCGAACCTCCATTCACCACCCATATTTTCGGCTCCTATCCTCCAAATTAAAACTATTTCCAGGCTCCAAACTTTAGCTCTCCATCCTTCACCTCCAAAAAATCCTTCTCTTTTCAATCGTGAACAAGGCAAGAGAGCAACAAGCCAGCAACACAAAAAATACTTTGATTCACATCATCAATCTTAACAACAAGGTAAAATCTAAGTTTTAATTTCGATTACTTGAAAGTTTTGTTATTTGTGTTAATTTCGGGTAAGGTTTGTGTGTTTGGTATACTCAATTTCATCAAGGTTCATTATACGCGATGTGTGTAGAATTATTATTATTATGTAATTGTACAAATCTTGGGTATTATGTTATTGAGTTCATATTTTCGTTTAAAGTTGACTTTTCTATTGTATAGTTGACTATTTCATGACATGAAGAAGCACCCTCTTGACCAATTTTTTGGCTCCGCCACTGCCTACAGGAACACCAATGGGCCTCACTCGGATTCAAACCTGGGATCTGCAACTCCCAAGTTTTCACTGTCGCGACAACTTTACCATTACACTATCTTACCTTTGATGAACATTTGTTTCATACCTATCCATATATGTACTTAATGCATTCAAAACTCTTATTCCAGAGTTTTTTTTTACAATTTATTCCAGAGTAATTGTAGAGTCTTTTTACATTTTCCTGTTTGTTTGATGTTTCACATATTAAACATGTTTATATCGTCAATACAAATATTTTAAAGAATTGAATTAATAAATTTACCAACTTTTTATGCCAATATTCACTTTCAAATTATAAATTCCAATTAATTATTATTATATATAAAAGTGAAGTTTTTCCCATCATTTTTTTTTCATTTAGTCAATTCAATGTCTGTTTATTCCTTTTTTCATTTCATCGTTTCTACTCAAGGTTTGTTCTTCCCTATGACGATTTGCTTGGCACCTAGACCTAGCCAAATTTTTTACATTTTTCCATCCTTTCTACACATGTTTCTTCTTTTTCCGAAAATTTGGCTAGCAAATGGCCAAGCTAGGTCGGAAATGAATCGTTGTTGGGTCAGAATCGCCGTCGCCGATCATGTCAATGGGGTGGGAAGAACCCGAAGCACCAACCAGAGATGACACCTTGGCGGCAGACTAATTAAGAGTTTTCTCTCCTAGATGTTCCTTCTCCTTGGCCTACAAGCTAGCTTCAACTGTACTCTTGAAATTAAAGATCAACCAAATCAAATCACTTCTTTCTGTATGCTTCACCCGTTAGGCCATTACTTCCTTAGCCACGCAAGGATGAAGAATATTGAGAAGCACTTCCGCTTCAAAGTTCAAAGATTGTTCTTTAACGATTCAATTCGATAAAAAGTCCTTCCCCAAGTACTTTTCCATGTATTCAACGGATGACCTAGCTCGGTTGGCAAACTAAACTATGAAATATCATTAATTAGAGATCCATGCACCCACCTCAATTGATTAATGTTTTCTTCTGGAAAAAGAAAATACAAATTTTTTTTTTTGTTCACTATAAAAAACATAAGCTTTTGCAACGGAGAAATTCGTCTATACAACCCAAAATACAACTCTAGGTCACGATCTTATATTGTAAGCAAGCAAGCAAGTCAAGTATTTTGCACCTTTTTCAGCTACTATAATCTTCTTGATAGAAAACCATCCTAGAGCTCTTCTTGAATAGAATAATTGTAAATTTTTAGGGTTTAGGATATTACAATGGTGTTCGATTGAAATTTGAAAACATGCATGCATATGATCAGGGGCGGAGCTAGGATTTAACGATCGGGGGGGCCGAAGTTTCGTAAAACGTTATCGCAAAAGACTAAAAAAATAGTTTTGTTTTATTATAACCACAACAATAAATACATTAAGTTCAATATAAATAAAAATTATATAAATATAATAATATATTTTAATATTGTCATTGTATCGCGCGTTCTATTTTCATAACTAAAAATCAAATATATATAAATATTAGCATAAGAAAACAATTACTGTTTATATAGTCTAATAGTTACAATTGAAGAACTTAATTGATAAATTTGAAATTAAGGAATTTAAATCATGAATGAAGTTATTAAAGGGGAATAAAATTACAAATACTTCTCATGTATCTCGAACTGTCCTTAAACTGTCCTTAAAATTGAAGAATTTAATTGAAATTATTTTATTAAAGTTTATGATTAAATATAATTATAAAAGTTAATATGGCTAAATCGATTTATTGAAGTGCTTAATTAATTGATTTCACTTAATGGATTCTAGCGAAGAAACAAAATTGTTTAAGAAAAGGAGGGTAAACAGAAATAAGGAAAAAAAGTACAAGCTTGCTTCTCACGACCATCGAACCAGGGAACAGAAGCTAGTTTCGGAAAACAATCCCCTCAGTTTCCGTTAGACTAAATCAAGCTCGTTGTCATTCTATTGCACGTCAAGATATTTAATCGTAACCTTTAGTTTATAGGTATACAACCGAACATTTTATACGAACTTTCAAGATTCTCGGGGGGGCCGGGGCCTCCCCGAGGGCTGCTGTAGCTCCGCCCCTGCATATGATGAACTGTTTAAAAATTTAAAACTTGGATAATTATGCTACACTTACATTATAAGTACAAACAATAGCACATTTTGATGTTTTTATTTTTTTATGGGATTTTCTTTTTCACATATAAAACTCTTCATTCTAACTTATTTCAATTACCGACAATGCAGAAAATAATGTACATGAATTGTAAATTGTTCATGAAAGTCTCGACAAAGTGGTATTTGTTTCCTTAAGAATTTTATAAAATAAAAATAAAAAGTACTAATTTGACAATTGAAATGGTCAAACTACAATAAAAAAAATGTATTTAATCTAATTCAATTTAATGTAGTACAATTATATATTCATCATTACCCGACGCAGAGCACTGACCAATTATCTAGTGTATTATAATTTATAACGAACATTTAACGTACTATTGATTGAAAAATAACAATTTTTATAAGAATATAAAACTTATTACATATTAATATCATAACATATCTGCACCATATTGAATGGGGCTGTCAAAGGTAATATGAACGAGATTGATGAGAAAGAGCTTTGGCAGGCCGCCGTCCTCGGCAAATTGTTTTACCCTGCCTTGCATGCATCTCAAACAAAAAGCTGGGAAATGGATTGTTGAAGAAATATACACGGCGCGTTCGTCAAACAAGGAGGACATAATAATAATAATAATAATAATAATAATAATAATAATAATAATAATAATAATAATTTGGATTGAAATGATTGCAATTAGGAAGGGATAAACTTGTGGAATCTTCCCACTAAGCAGCAACTTTGTAATTAAAAGGCCTCCACTTTTCTGTCAGGAGTTTAATAATCTTGGAGATTCACAAAGTCAGTGGTTTCCAGAACCATTTCCTTTGCCTTTCCTATTATAGATTCATGGCATTTCACCCCTTTATGGAGACAAGTTGTACAATGTGGGCTTTGGTACAGGTTTGGTGCATGAATAGCTACAACTGTGCTTAACCTCGATTGGATTATGCCACGGGATACGGTGACAATTCTTAAGAGGGTTGTCAGATTGACAATCAAGGGTATTTTGGGTATGAAAAAAAAAATATTAATTAGCTTTTTTGTATTAATCAGATTGGGAGTTAAAAACCCATATTAAATATAATTTTTTAATTTAAATTCTATACATTAATATCTCTATCTATCTCTCTCTTCCTTTCTCCTGCGGCCACTCCGCTTCGATGGACAGACTTTTTCTCCGGTGAATTCTCTCCGGCAGACTCCCTCCGGCAACCTGAAAAAATGTACTAGTGCGTTAAAAAGTGTACCAATCCATTAGTCTACTGGTAATTAATATACCAGTGCTAGTGGTACGCTACTAGTGCTTTAAAAAATGTACCAGTGCTAGTGGTACGCTACCAGTACTAGTGGTACGATACCATTACCACTTGTAGCGGTACCATTAGCGGTACCATTACCACTTGTAGCAGTACCAGTACCAGTGGTAGCGGTACCATTGCCACTGGTGGCGGTACCATTGCCACTGGTAGCGTACCACTAGAGACTAGCACAAAAAGAATCAGATCTGAAATATGAAAAATCACATATCTGGAAAAAAAAATCCGGGATGACGAAAGGGGGAGGCAGGGGAGAGGCGGTGACCTCGTGGCGACGGTGGTGGTGGGAGACAGAGGGCGGCGGGAGGGTTGCGACGACGGTAGTGGTGGGAGGAGGAGGCCGCGGTGGTGGGGCGGTGGAGGCAGCGATGGCTGCGGGGCGAGGGACGTGACAGTGCTGGGAGGCGGAGGGCGCGACGACGGGATGGCTGCAGCAGTGATGAGAGGCGAAGGCGTGGCGGGTCGGCAGGACGGCTGCGACGACGCTGGTGGCAGCCGATAGAGAGAGAGGGAAGAGATGGGAGGAAGAAGAAGAAGAATAGGAAGAAGAAAGATGGCATGAGAGAGAGAGAGAGAGAGAGAGAGAGGAAAGAGAGAATGTAGGGTTTTAGGTATTAATAGGGGTAATAATCTAGTGTGGTCAATTTTTTCGTCCAAAAATACCCTTAATCCAATCTGTACCATTGATTTGACAAAAAGAAGAAAGAGACAAGAGAGAGAATGGATCCTATGGTTATAAAATGGGTTGTCACCGTATCTCATCCCTTGGATTATCGAGTTACTAGTTCAATTATGGTGATTATTACTCTTTGTATTTTTAATTGTCGGTCAAAATTGTTTTAATGATAGTTTTGAAAATGAAAAAGATCGTACATGTGATTATTACTCTTTAAAACTTAACTCTTCCCATTAGGAATGACAACGGGTCGGATTGTGGGCAGATAATGCATATACGTTATCCTACCTAGCGTTGTTCGGGTTTTACTAATAAATCATACTCATACCTACATAAGAATCTAGAAAATTAAAACCATATCCATACTCGTTTAGGTTTCGGGTATCCACGGTTATCCATGGATAATAATTTATCTTTATAACTCTAACCAACA